TATTTTTTGATCGGTGGGGGAAGGGAGAGAGAAAGACAGGGAGAGAAACATCAGTGTGTGGTTGCCTCTTGCGTGCCCCTAACTGGGGAACCTGGCGCACAACCCAGGCATGTCCCCTGACTGGAAATCGAACCAGCAACCCTTTGGTTTGCAGGCCAGTGCTCAATCCACTGAGGCACACCAGCCAGGGCTCACTTTATTTTTTAATAAGGCAAAGAAACACTTCAACTTAATAAACAAAGAAACTGAGGCTCCTGTAACCACGCAGTCTACAGAGGCAGCATGGGGGGTGAAGGCTGGAGAAGTACCAGAGACAGAGCCTCCTGCCTCCATCCACAACTGGCAGGAACCCCACACGTCACCCAGTCTACCTGGCCTAGCTGCCCTTGACCTTGGCTCTCAGGACTGGCTGTGTGTGGACAGCACACGGCGGTTGGATATTTCTGCTACATCTGTGTCTGGATTTCCCTTACTGGTTATCTACCTTAGCCAGAGCCTCCCCACCTGGGATGATGGAGATAAGTGTGGAAGCAAAAAGGCTGTTTCTCCTGCCACTGCTGACATCCCTCCCCATCAGAAGCAGCCCTGCAGACCACCAGGGAAACTGCTGACCCTGCTGGTCCACCTCTGTGGCCCCCGGGCTCTCATCCATCATATAGAGATAATTAGTCTGTTGTTTTTCAAATCAGTCAACTAGCCCCATAATCACCTTCTCAAAAACATTCAGGCAATTAAATGACCGATGAGATGATGGGGCAAAGAGCAGACAGAGAGAATAGATGACATGCTGAAATGAAGATGCAGCCGAGATGGGACAGCAGAAGACTCAGGGGGCTGAGGTCTCTGTCTTCACTGTGCTGGGGAAATAATCAAACTGCTTTCATTCTGGTCTCTATGTCTGTTCGGTATGGAGAATGAACTGATGATGGGGCAAGCTAGGGGCCACGCATCCTGGAACCTGTGCTTCCCTGTCCTCTCCTCCTGCCACTGCAGCCTCCCTCCCAGCCACCCCTGCGCAGTGTTCTGAAAGAGCTGGGGCCCCAGGCATGCAGCAGGATTTCAGTCTTGGCCTCTTCCTTTCCCATTGCAAGAATCTTGTCCAAATAATTTTGCTTCTCTCAGGCTTAGTTGCCTGGTGTGCAAAATAGGAACCTGGCTATTTGCTGGAGAATAAAGTCAAATGAGGGGAGGTGAAGTGTCGAGTACAGTGCTTGGCACAAAGTAGGTGCTCAGTAAATGAAGGTTTTCTTTCCCCTGACAACCAAGCTCTCTTTCCATCACCAAAGGGCAGGCCTGATGCTGACTGATTCAACAGATGCAGAACACCTGTTCTGCATGTACTGCTGAGAAGCACTGGACCGGGAACCAGTGCATCATCAGAATGAGTTCTGTTCCCTGCTTGGCCATCTGTGAGGGCAAGGTGCTTTTGCTTAATGCCTCGGGTTCTCCATTTCCTCATTTCCACGCTAGGACTAATGATGCCTGTGTTGTGTCCCATGCAGGGCTCTCCAGGCAAAATGAGAGAGGTGTGAAACCTCTTCTTGCAACTGTTAAGGAGCTAAAAAAAAGGCAGGCTCTACCCCTCCCCTCTGTGTCTGTTAACTCAATCACCTGCCTCACAGGGATCCATAAAGACCATCTGTAACACCTTCCTCTTCCTCACATTTCTAACTGGTTGCCAAGATATGCCAACTCTGCCTTTATATGGTGTCTGACACCTGGAGTGCACTTCTTGCTGTTACCGCCTGCATCAGTTTTGTTATTGCTGCTGTGACAAGCCACCACACAGTGACAAAACAACACCAGTTTACTGTCTTACAGTTCTGTTACCCAGAAGTCTGACCCAGATCTGGGCTGACCCAGACTGACTGCCAGGGGAGAGAAAAAAATCTAATGTTTATCGAGGACCTATGCTGTGCCAGGTCCTGTGGTAGATGATGCCCCTGGAGGAAGGACTCAGTGACTATGTGTTTATATTCAGGGAAGCCCTGCTTAAAGTCTTGTGTGTGAGAAACACAGGCCTAGAACTAACAGGCAAAGGATTTTCTAGGGAATTTGCCGGTTTGGGATATGAAAACAAAAAGTGTAACCCAGTAGAGTGGGCTGCTACTATTAGATTTTCTCTCTTCATTATCATATGATCTTTTGATAAGATTGTAACAGCTTTGATCTTCAATATGGCTTGGAGTTAGCTTAGGTGAATGCAGTAACACACTGAGCCAGGAAGCCAGATTCCCGTGGGCTGCAGGACCCTGTTGCTGCCTGTTTCCTAGGAGTGCTGAGGTTTCCCTGCAGGTCATGGCCAACGCCAACTTCTCCTACAGGAGAAATTGTACTACCTACCCTGAAAACCCCGAGTGTGATCTTTGGCTTGGCTGACTTTTTGATGTTAAAATTTTGGCTTTCGTCAGGTTTATACTTGCTACATATAACAATGAGGCAAGTAGTGAGTTACCTCACAGATGTGGTCAGCAAGATAAAAAGATGATGGCTTTAGAAAGCCTTTCTCTATGTAATATTTGTGTTGGGGGCTTCCCGAGAGGGATACTGTACATTCTTTGGCAGATGTTGTGAGGCAACGGAAAGAGGGTGGAATCAGAGGCAGAAGAGCTGAGTCAAGTCACAGCTTTACTCGTTTTGGTTCCCTTGGGCTGGTGACATTCAGTCCCCTGGAAATTTTCCTGGAATCACGTAAATGTGGACAAAATAAATGAAAGTATCCCTTAATTCTTCTGAGTCCTATTTTCATCCAACCATACAATGGAAGAGTTGGAAAGAAAGAAACTGACAGCAGTAAACTAATAGTCCATCATCCCTCGGGGTCTGCAAGGGATGGGTTCCGGGACCGCCCCTGCATACGCTGAATTCCCTGGATGCTCACGTCCCTCACCCAAAGTGGTGCAGTACTAGCACATGGCCAGCGCACATGCTCCCACATGCTGTAAATCATCTCTAGATTATTTATACTACCTAATCTAATGTATATGTCATAATTAAGGAATAGTTCAGTGCAGACACAGCCATTTTAGGCCAAACTACATAGGGCACGTGAGCAACAATGTAGCTGTGCAGAACCCGGAGCCACAGAGGACTAGCTGTGGGAAGTATTTGGTAAGTTGTCAATTCCTGCTAGCATGTTATTCTCATTAGCTGTACTTTTCACGTTCTGTGAAATGCAAGGCCAAGAGAGATCAGATAAGCAATAACGTTGACAAAGTTACCAACATTTTAAAGAATTTTGACCCCTTTATTGGAACTGTCTATCTACTCAGAAACACTGTCTCCATTCAATCAAGTTAAAAACAATTTTGGGGGTGTGGCTGTTAAAGCATTCCTAATATTTTCTCTTAAAATGTCAGCTCTGAGTGAGGGGCTTTATGACTGTGGCACCTTAGGCAGTAACCCACATGTGGACAACCACAAGGACGACCACCTTCTACTTCTATTTCTGGAACTCAAGGATAGAAGGCTTGTGACACAAAGCTAGTACCTTTCATAATTCATAAACCTGAGAGGGAAGAAACCCGGGGAGGGGTGAAGACATGGGAGAGTCCCCTCCTCAGGTGGCCTCTCAGGTTTGCACGTTCTGCCAGAACGGGCGGAGGGCGGTCCTTGTGCCTGAGGCCCTCGGTAGTAGCAGTGCTAAAGATGACAACCCCTAGAGCCTGGGCCCCATTCTTAGAGTCAGAAAGACTTCACGGAGCCAGGTGATTGCGTCTGATGGACTCCATTTCCCTGACACGAAATGGTCACCTTGGAGGGTGCCTAGTCGTGACATTCTATCAGCGAAAAACATCCACTTTCAGAATAGACTCTCAGCAGGCAATAGGGGTCAGCTCAGTCTATTTTTAGTTCTGCTTTGGCAGGAACCACAAAAGGAGTCTAAACTCACTTTTTTGTGCCTTTAGAATCCTGCTGGCACATCCTCAGCAAATACCCACCCTACTCTTTCTGTGGTGACAGATGGGACTGATCCAGGGTTGCCAGGGCAACTGCTGCCAAGTACCCCATACCCTTTTCCAGAGGTTTCAACACTTCTGCTGATGAATGGTGAAGGTTCTTCCTTTCGGAGAGATTCTGACAAAGATGGAAGGTCAGCATAAAGGTCAATAAGACATATTTACCTCAAAGTAGTGTTTTCAGACAAACCGATCATACCTTGGCAGGCTATTGCTCTAGTCCATGATTTGAAGGCATAGTCTAATACAGGTAAGAACAGGGAACAAGATAAAAGGCAACTATATTAAACCTGGGAAGTTCCTTTTTTAGACAAATGAAATATCTGCAGAGTCTGATACTAAATAGTAGACTGAGCATATATAATATGCCGACAATGTTCATTTTGAAATGTTAATGGTTTATAGGCAGTAAACTGCCTTGCAGAGCAAATTATGATCTTGTTTCAACATGGGTCACATGGTAGGAGTCACCTATACTGTAAGGATGAAAGAAATGAATTTGGACAAGGTTTGGTGTTTTTGCAAGAATAGAAGGTCAAAGTCCTCTAGGATGTTACATTCTGAAAATCATAGCCAAAAAACAAAAACAACCTCCCTAAAACTCCACACCCTGTTTCCTTTACTCCTCTTTTATTATTATTTTGTTTCTTCAAAATTACTGAGGCAATTTTTGATGCTAAGGAACCACAAGCAGAAGTGACAGAAACAACAATGGTTAGAAGAGGAAGATTGTGGAAACATAAAACACAGAACAGAAACACATTTCTAGGCATATTTAACTAGAGATACAAGAGCAGACAGACCCACCAAGCAAGAGACCTCTCAGGTTTCAAAAGACTGAAAGTAAATCAAATCAGAAGCATAGCCCAAAATATACAGCAATAACCACCACCACCAATTGTAATAGATGCTCAGATGCTGTCTTTGAAGCTAAGCAGCCCATCTTTTCCTTAGGTATTTGTTAGAAAGCTAATTCCCTTAATTAAGTCTTAGAGGACCACTGCGTGGGCAGCACTGTAATTGAAAGGTATGGTCACTTACTAGGGCACTTCTGCTCCTCCACCGCTGGCTGCTCTGTTTCTGGCTTGGGGCCTTTGATTTTCTGCACCAAGGCACAGAGTTTGCCTGCCCAGGAGGTGACCTCCTCCTCCTCCTCCTCTTCCTCCAGGGGGACCCCTAGCAGGCCATAGAACAAAGTGGAAATCTTGAACACTATATGAAACATCATATGATTGAGAGAACATAAGAACTTCTGGAACTTTAAATGTTTATCTACATAGTATCTTTTCGCAAGTTTTTTAAAAAGGTGATTTCTTGTGTACAAGAACATCAAGTAATTTCAATCCCCAGACTTAACTCTTCTGACCTATGCCCCCAGAGCACTGTAGAGTCTTGAGAAAGAAGGAGTTAACATTGACTTATTTCAAATGAAAAGACCATCTATCCAATATATTACTCAGTCCACTGATGTATGAGCGGCACAAGTGCTAAGAGCCACTTAAAATCAGCAGATGCATTAGAATTCTTAAAGGCAGAAGTTACAGTAATGTATCACTGCAAACGCTGCAGAACAAAGGGGATCAGAGTGTTGGCTCGGCTGGAAGCAGAGTCCCGGTCCCAGCTATCTAACCTGAAGTGAGCTGGGTGAGGTTTACGTCATGGTCAATTACCTTTCCTTCTTCAGAGACACCATCCCTTCTCACATCTCAGCAAAGTCTCTTCCAGGTAGAAGGAATTTCAGTCGTGAATTATGCCAGGATTATTTCCTCTGACCCAAGTAGTTTGGGTAGGACCATTTCTTGAATAATCAGTATTGCAATTTTAAATAGGAAAACAACTTCCCATCTTCCCTCCCCCCACTAGCTTCTTGTGAAGGACTGAGGGACAGACTTGTCCTTGAAGAAGCTGCATCCCTGGAAGCTCACCACAGTGAGAGAGAAGGTCCTCGTGGAAGTCGTACAGCTCCTCCCGGATCTCGTCTGGGCAGGGGCAGTTCTCTCCCAGTTGAAAGTTAAGGAGCATATTGATCTTTGAGGGACAAAGAAGAGCAGCTAGTTGGTTCTCAGTGTTGCTCCAAAGAACTCAGATCCTGCCTTAGGCAGACACCCAACACTGCCTGCAAATTTTATTTAACTCATTTGTGTGTGTGTGTGTGTGTGTGTGTGTGTGTGCCCACGCACAAAAATGGTCAACCTTTAAGAGTAGCTTGCATTTTCCGGATTGTAAAATTAGTTTACTGATTGCACAAAATGTGGATAATACCTAAGGAAGAAAGTTTACTGAGATCTCACCACCCAAAGATATGTTAATATTTCAGTTAATATCTTCATCTTTACGCAGGTTGAAATTGTATTCTAGGTAAACTCTTTTGAAACTCATTTTATCCCACTTAACAATTTATCTTGAGCATTTTCTTATTTCCTTAACCTGATTTTTAATAGGTGCACTGCATTTTCATCATATGGATAAATAGCAATTTATGAAAAATTAATGACCTGTTATGATATAGTTGTTATTTTCATTATCCTTATAAATAAAGTTAATGTTAATTTCCTTTTGCATAATTTTGTTCACATCTCTGACCATTTTCTTAGGATAAAGTCCTAAAAGCAAAATGATGAGATTAAAAGGTTTGTACATTTCAATGGCTTTTGATATGAATTGCTATATTGTCCTCTAGGAAGCTCACAACAATTTGTATTGTTGTTGAATTTATGCAACAGTATGTATTTCTTTGCCATCTTCATTACAGAAATGAGAGTTAATGCATTTCCAAATATTTTCCAACTTAATGGGTGAAAATGTCATGCCCCTGTTGCTTTATTTTGCATTTAGTTGGTGAGGCTGAACTTTGTTTTTCCACATATAAGGGCCATTTTTCTTCATATCTTATGAATATACCATCCACATTCTTCCATTTTTCTGTGGGGTAATTACTGTTTTAAAAATTAATTGAAAAAATAATAAAAAAATTAACAAGCACTTTGCACATCTCTGGACTATTAACTCTCATAACATATATTCGAAATATATTTTCTAGTGTTTAGTGAGCTTTCGTTTATGTGCTTTTTTTTGAGATGTAGGCTTTATGTTCTGCCGTCAGTCTATCATCTTTTGCATTGTAGGTTTGTCTCAGGGATTGTTAACTCTGCGCCACGGACCACTCTGACCGTCCAGGGAAACCCACAGATTCTTCTCAGATTAATAAACACATAAAATAAAATGTATAAGGCTACAAAGAGAAGCCATTATATTGAAATCTAATTATTAAGATCATAAAAAACGAATTTGTGATATTGTAGCACATACACTTATTAGACAAAAGCATCCGGGGGCAAGCCTTATAGCTGCTGTGATCCTGAAGTACGTGATGAGTGTGAGTGATATTTCAAGGCATTAAAACCACTGCAGTATGAAATGGAAAAATATGCAATTTATGTTGGTGATAAAGTCCAGCCTTCGCTTTGCTGCCTACCTTAATAATTAAAATACACTATCAGAGATTAATAAAAAGTTGGTAGAAATAAAGCTGCCACTCATTTCCCACTCAGATTCCCAGGTGTCTGAGTTGCCCGCAGACCCAGCCTCCAGGCCAGGACACCTGCAGGAGCTGCAGCGGTGACTAGAGGTCATCTTGTCCATTCCCTGCCTCGGGCAGAGCACCTCAGACAACAGAAAGCCTTTTTTTTTCCTCCTTCTGTTTAGGTTTCTGGGTGAAAAAAATCGACAACCTCTTTTATTAAACCACGAACCTTATTTAATATTGTTAGATTATGGCAAACAATTTTTTGGAAGTAGGTAGCCGTGTAGTTTGTAATACAATAATATTTATAGAACAGGTTGGAAAAGTAACTTTTGTGGTTGTTCTATAATGTTAAATTATGATAGTTATGTCAACAACATATACTGATAGGCTGTTTATTAAATAAAAATAAGATCTGAAGATCTGGTTCCAGAATTCGGAAATTAATATCTTTACTGACAGGTCTTCCCTTCTGTGGAACATGTAAGGAGCAGTGGCCCACCAGCCCGCAGGGTGTAAATCCAAAAGGGCATAAGATAAAAGGGTGGTGAGCTGAATTTTCTACTGGAGGTCATACCCTTTAATGAAGCCTTTTTGAAAATTAAAGGCTTGCTGACTATGTTTGGCTAATTTGCCAATAATCATGGGACTAATAACCTTAGTTTTAGCTACTCTTGTATGTAGTTACATCCCCAAGTGTGGCTTTTTCATCTCTCTGAGTATCATGTGGATATAGGGCTGAAAACCTACTCTTTCCTTCAAGGTTATAGAAGGATGAAGTAATCTATCATATCACTATTTTAAAATTTTAATTCTTATACATTCCATTTTCCAAGGGATTTTGCATTTCTTTCCCCTAAAGTTGACCTAAATCTTCCATGTCCTTTGTAGATATTAAATTCTTATTTAGAGAGTTTTATGGGTAGATTCCTTCTAGAAATGAATACTCAGGGAGTGGTGGCAGATGGGATAGCAGAGTTTGACAGGAGTTAGTACCCCTTTTTCCTTTTCAGTTCTAGACCAGCAGCATCAATGTTACCTGCAAACTTGCTAAAAATGCAAATGCTTGAGCCTTGTGCTAGACCCGCTAAACTAGAGACCCTAGAGGTGCCCCAGCCATCTGGGTTTTATTTAGTCTTGGTTCACAGGGTGGCACTCAATCCACTGAGCCACACCAGCCAGGGCTGGGTTTTATTTAGGCTTGGGATTCTGACGTTTGCTCAAGAATCACTGGTTTAATACATCTCGGAAGAATTTCTTGAGTTACAGTTTTCTGATGACATGATTCTTCAGTAGGCTAAAGCGATGGCTGGCCCTGGGAAGAGGAGGGAAGGAAGCAGAATGGGGAAAGAAAGGGTAGGAGCCAGGATCGTAAGCTATGACCATGAGGATGGTGCCCCAGCTCTCATAAGCTGGCAAATGCTGACCATATTTTGTTGATCTCTGAGAGACAGATTTCCAGAATGATTGAACAGAAATTTTCAAGTGGTAGGTCCTTGCTGGGATGCAAGTTGATACCAACTGCAATCTGGTCCTTGACTTGGTGATAAGGACACAGGCATGAGGGAAGGGAGGAAGCCCTGCCCTTTGTGCAGTTTTGGAAGGATTATTTTCCTCTCCCAAAAGGTAACTGGCAGGTCTCAGTTGTCACACTAGGCCTGTCTCCTGGTGTTGGGCTGGTCTTTTAATCACCCACAGCTCTTGGGGCTGCCAGGCACATAAAAGTTCCAAGAGCCCTGTTCCCACAGGGTTCAAGGTCTTCCTTAGGAATGGGACGGAGGTTCAGAAAGGGGTTCTCACCTGCTCCTGTGGAGGTGAGCGGAACTCCTTGGTCTTCCGAGCAGTTAGGGCTGCAGACATGTTCAGGGCCTGCATGAGCTCATTGTAGCGGAACTTCTGATTTGCCTGGAGCTTGGAGACATAAATGTCGCCAAAGGCCACAATGGCTTCCACTCGGTGCTGCAGCTCACAGTCACAGAAATAGCTGAGGAGCTCACACATCTGCAATACAAGTGTATATATATGCTAATATAATAATGGTTTATGGAAACTGAGGAAGTACCTAGCACCCCCATTTTATACACGGTAACACTGAGACGTAGGTGATCTAAGTAACCTCTCCAGGGTTACAGGAGGGTTACAGGGTTTGCTTAGTAAGTAAGCAAAGAGCTATTGATTCCAAATTGGCCAGAATCCAGAGACCAGCTCTTCAGCATTAGGGCCAGGAGAACAATGGAAGTAAGCTCACTGAACACAGAGTACATCTGTCTGTGCAGTGAGAGAGAGAAAACATTTGTAAAGGAGTGTTTCCAGCGGGCTCTAAGCTCAGCATAGCAACCAGCATTGAAATGCACAGTGGGCCCTGGGTCGTTCCTGACGTCTTCTGGCTCTCTCATTGTTTTTGTTTCTAAGTTCTATTTTTCTGTGATTAGTTCTTTAGGATTGCTAGTGTTACCAATCTCACCACAATTACAACTTATACTAATAAGAGATGCAATAACCATAACTTACTGAGCACTAACTTTACCGATACTGTGCCAGGTGCCAGACACTTGCTATACTTTATCTCCATGAATCTCGGTGTTCCTGATATTACTGAACAGAGTTCTATTGACCCACCCCCACTTAACTCTCCCTGGGACTAACGGAGCCTCTTTGGTCATCTGGGTGGTGGTGGTGGGGGGGGCTCTGGCCTGGCTGCACGCCTGGGCTCCTGCCCGGTGAACTAGGATCTGAAGCTTATACCAGTCACACCTGTGATGTAATTACAACAGTTAATTAAAAATTATATGAGCCAATGAAATAGGAAAACTAAGTTGAATGACTAAGGGATGTCTGTAAAAGGTACGTTGTTTTGTTTTTACAAAAATGCTAAGAATTGGGTGTGAGTTAGATAACTACACAAAACTAAGGGGAATTACAAAAATCTAGATGCATTCAGCACTCCGCTTCCCAATGATCTCTAAATCTGCATGCAGTCCGCCCAAACTGGCAACTGTGGATGGTGTGTGACAGGTGCCACCTATGCACAAGAGGACTCTGTGCCAGCCAGAGACTCACATTAAGGGAAAGGTCCTGGCCCTATGTCAGAATAGCACATTTATATATTTTAATAAAAAACTAAAGTATATATATATAATTTGTTATGCTTCTCCTTTATAGTTAACATTTTGACTGACCTACCAATCTCATCACATTGGATAAGACAGATTCATCTTTAGGTTACTTGATTATAATACATTTTATGATAAAAAACTTCATATTATATTTCATAAAAATACAGTTAATCCTATATTTTACTATATTATCATCCACATTTTACAAATCAAAAAGCCAAGACTCTGGCAGAGAGGAAGTGAAATCCAGGGAAGCACGAGCCAGACTCAGTTCATTTATCTTTCCTCAGTTGCTACCAGAAGACAAAAGGTGTGGTCACCAGTTCACTACTGTCACTAGCTTGCATCTGGTAAAGCTTTGCCTTAGGAAATGATGAGGTTTGCTAGGCGATGACAAGGGGAGAGCTCTAAATTACCCTGACTATTTTCTTTAGTATTTGCTGGTTTCTAGTATTTGCTAGTGTAACAGGTCCACAACAGCTTGGCGATCAGAGCCTGAATACAAATGAGAGCTGGTGACAAGTGTGGTCCCCCATGTGTCAATTCCTTTGGTCTTCTCCATAGTCGAAGGCTACTCTCCCTGTCTAGACAGGATCTCTCAAATATGCCCTGTAGCCCCAAAGGGTAAGAGACAAGGTCAGGGCAAATCCATCACTAGTACCAGAACAATTCTAGAGTATGTGCCTTATTGGCAAGGGTTGGTATTTTCACTTTGGCTTGGGGAGATGGAGGGAGTACATTCTATATCAGAAATGAGCAGGACTATTGGGTGTTTTGAGCATCTCTGTTACCCTCCAGATTTAGGCTGGCATCACAATTTCAGCCTCAACACCACTGGGCTGTACTGTCTCCCTCCCCAGCCCTCCAAGGGCAGGAACTTTGATGCCTGAGTTACCTGGAGCTTGACGGACTCTGGTAATCGGGTCTGTAACAAGCCTTTGACTGGAGCCTCCTTGCTGGCCTTTTCCCCAGCCTCCACTGCCTTCTCCTCCACCTGACTCACTTCCTCCTTCTCTGCTCCCTCTTCTCTCTCCCTACTCTGCTCGCCAAACACAGACTGATCAATCAGGAGGAGAATCTGCCGAACGTCATCATCATCAAACACCCCCATGACCAGAAGGGTTCCAATGAGCTTCAGCACAGGCACAAACTGGAACTCCACAGAGCCCCCAACAGGGTCTCGGATGTGAGCTCCACTGCACTCCACAGCCTCTCTCAGCATGCTCAGCGCCTTCGTCTTGAGAATCTCCAAGGGAATCTCGGGGCTCTGCTTCTGGTGCTCCTCACTGGTCATGACAAAGCAAGGGGTGGAGAACTGGAAGCCCGGCTTGAGGCAAGTTCTCAGGCCCACCCCAGGCAGCCCATGCTTTTTTGACCCATCTGGGTACAGGCGGATTTTCCTGGTGGTGCTGGTAATGGGGATGATGTACTCATTCTTCATCATCAGCTTTCTCTCCTTAGCGTTGGCCAGATGGATGCTGATGAGCAGGTCATAGAAGCCAGACCGAAGGAGGCCGGGGAGGTACTTGTTATCAATGGCGTAGAAGAGCTGGGAAAGGTCAACGTGGCTGCACAGGGCATAGGCTACTCGGCTGTTTCCCAGGGCACACACGGCGCTGTAGAGTCTCAGCGTGTGGTAATGGAACTGCAGCAGGTCCTCCTGCTCACAGAGCTCCAGGATATCCACACACCTGAGAATGAGACAAGCAATCAACCACTCCACAGGGAGAAAAGTGTGCCAGAATATCGCAGAGTTCTTGCTCTCTGAATCCCCAGGGACTTCATCCAACCTGAGGAAGGCAGAGCAGGTAGAAGGATGAAGGCGTCTCTGCCACACTTTCTCCTAGAGGTCATCGTCTGTCTCCCAGTTCTGGTTCATACCCTGTTCCTGATAATTCACCATTTCTAACTACAAGGGTCTCCAAAGTCTGTAATACCTAGAAAGGACATCTGCTTACTAAATATTAAACACTTCCTTATTAGGGAAAAACCCCAAAATATCAGCACTGAAAAATATTCAGGTACAAGTCAAAGGTGACTTGGTCCTCTTACTTGTAGGCTCAAGGGGATCCCTAGGTTCCTGATGTAAGATGCAGCCTAAGCCCTCCATCAATCTACCATCTACATCATCTGTATAATCTCCAATCTGTCATCATCCACGGGGCTTTCCCTCCCTCGAAAACAAACCTACTGCACTCTTGTCCAGAGGGGAGACACTTTCCAGCTGGAGATGAGCTGCCAAAATAGTTTGCTTTCTCCTTCCCAACCTTAGAGGTATGTTTGCCTCTGTGCCGTTCCCTCGTTTGTGGGGGTCCAGGGCGTGGGCTCTGATCTTTGCTTAGATTTTCTACTTTGTTTTGCTCCTCACCGAAGATCTGAGGATCCTTCACAACAGGCATACATGGGTGGACTGCTGGTCTTTTCTGCTCCTTCCCTATACTAACCTGTCCTGCGGCTGCCCATGACCCAATGGAACACCCAACTGGTAGCTAGGCAGGTGTCAAATACCTCTACCTTCTCTCCTAATTAATTTTTTAGTCCAAGAGATCAAGGGCTAATAATATCCACAAAATACAATTTATTTAATTCTTACTATGCACAGAAACTATACTGTATTTTTTACCTCCCAGTCCTCCACTGGGTGGACTTTTATCTCACTGTATCCTGAGGAGACTGAGGCCTGGAGGATGTGAGTAACTAAATGGAGGCCTCACAGCCAGAAAGTGACAGTGTTGGGATTGAACCCTGGCCATCAACCAAGAGCACCTCTTAATGAGACGAGGCCAGAAGCCTGATTTTTTCATTTTCTAAGCAAGCTAGGCATACCTAACTCTCCTCCTCCTTGCCATCAATAAACATATATTCCAGAGTCATGCTAAGATTTTTAATTAAGTGCATGGAAATGTCCCTGAACACAGGCACTGGGAGCTACAGTGAAGGCCCTGTGGTAGGCACAGCATGGTGAATATCCTGCTATTTCTGAGTGAATCACAAAAGCTGAGAAGGGAAAGAAGAGAAACTGAGGCTTTGGGGAAATGAAAAGTCATCTTGGGACTGAGAAGGGCCCTGGGCCGCTGAGGGTGCCCCTCCTTCCCTTCTGTGCTGGCCCTGCCTCACCACCTCCCAGGCCTGCCCGTCATCTGCGGGACCCTCCATTACCTGTTCTCTTCCGGGATGTGGAGCGCCATCATCTGCAGGGGCTCCAGGCACTGCACCACCCAGCCGTGGCGCTCGCTCACCCGCTCTGTCTCCACCTTCAGGAAGCTGCTGGGCATGCGGCTCCAGAGCACGGGCTGGATGGTTTGCACATCAAGCCGAGGCGGACACTGCGGGACTGGGTTCTTCTCTTCACTCTTAAATATGGCTGCCGACAGGGGCATCGCATTCTGGGCGAGGCGGAGAGGCATGGGAGAGAACATACGTGCAACAGAGATTCTCAGTGGCTGGCCCACAGTGACCAACAGGGTGTGTATAAATTAAAGAGAAACAAACATATCCAGGGGCCTCTAAGGGCTTTACCAGCATTAGTTGTGACCTAGGTGATGCGTTACATGGGTTTTAATTCTTTCAGCACCCAGTAGAAGTGGGAGAAGGAGAGAATGAGAAGGGAGTATGAGAAGCAAGAAGTGACACAGGCTTCATGGTCAATGTGCCTTCTCTTGTCATAGCCATTCTATGAGGGGACAGATAATTACCTTCAGCTTTCCAAGTTCAAATTGAAACAGAGAAGTGCTTGTGGGCTGCAGGAAGACTGCTGGAAACACTTTGGTGTTGGGCTCCACCTGGAAACCAAAACAAACTGGGAGGTTAGTGAAGAACTATCAAATCATGGATGGCTAAGTCACTGGGTGTTTTAATCACCACCCACATTCTAACTTCAGCTGGAAGAGGATTATTCACTGCCAGGTCATTTGACCCTGGCTCAGAAATTCTCAGAGATCTGGTACCTGTTGGTAATTACCGTCTCTGCTTCCTACCTTAAACACTCTCTGACTCTCTCTACTGGGACTAACATATCTCATGTCCTTTCATTTTCTCTCTCCATCAGCTTTCTCCAGAGCTCAGGAGGATGGTCATAAGGCTACTAACTTGCCACCAAAGGCAATGCCTGCTCTTGGTCACTGAACAATTAGATGTTGTGGCTCATCACAGAGCACAGAGATATCTGCCCAGAGAAGGTACTATGGTAATTTCAGAGGGCAAACGGCCATTGGTCCAGCAACCCAGGGAGGCTCCTACAGCAGGTTTCTCAACCTTGGGACAACTGACAGTTTGGGCTGGGAAAGTCTTTGTTGCCGGGGCTGTCTTATACATTGTAGGGTATTTTTGGCATCCCTGGTGTCTGTTGACTAGATGTCAGTAGCACTTCCCACCCTATCACAGTCATGGTAACTGAAAGTGCCTTCTGAGGTTGCCAAATGTCCCTTGACGAGAAGAGCACCCTCACTCAAGAACTGCTGCTTTGCAGGCAGGGCTGTGAGGCGCTTCCCTGGAGTAAGAGGAAGGGGCTGCCTCCAGAGCTGCCTCCTCTCTCCAAATCTCTCCCTCCACTTGGTCCTCCTGGACTTCTCTCTGTGATTGTAGTTCTTGCATTAAATGACATGGATTCACTGACTGTCGTTTAGTTGTCACTTAGGAGAGCCACATGGATTCACTTATGATGTTGGGGTTCCACTTAGCATTTGCTCGCTTTGATGAGACCTTGAAGAAATGGAATTCTGAATTCCACCAACCAAAATTCTTTGCCTTTAAGAAAATTCAAACATGAGGGAATTCTTGTAGCTCTTCCAACAGACTCAGTTAGGGGATAATGGGAGTTATGGATGCCACCTTGCAAACTGATGCCTGTAAACTTCATAAACCACACAGCCAAATGCCAGGGCCATCCTCACACCCCCCTGCAGAAAGGAAGTTCTCTGAAAACCTTCAGCATGCCCTGGGACAGGTTGATTTCTGCCCTGCAGAGTACACTGCTGCCACAAAGAACAATGAATATTTTCCTCAGTTACTGAAATAAGACTGTAACACAGAGTGGGCTTGTGATGGATGTACAGAAGATAAAAGTGGCAACTGGGGGTGTGGTAAGCAGAATCCTAGCTAACTTTCATGACCCCTGTGGTTGCTTCTGTGATGGTGTTTGTCACATGGCAGGGGGGATTCTGCAGAGACAAGTAAGGCTACTAACCAGTTAACCTAGAGAAAGATTATCATTGTGGGACTGATCTAGTCACATGAGCCCTTTGAAACCAGGTAGAAGGCAAAGTCAGAGAGACTGGAAGCTTGACCAGAACCTGACATGTCCTTGGGGCCTTGAAGAAGGAAGGGGCCACATGAGAAGGAATGTGGGCACCTCTGGGAGAAGAAAGTGGCCCCGACTAACAGCCAGCAAGGACACAGGGACCTCAGAACCCCAGCCTACAACCACAACTGGGCCCTGCCCACAACGCAAATGAACTTGGAGTGGATTCCTCCTAGAACTTCCAGGTAGAGTCAGCTCAGCCTTGTTGACACTTTGACTTTGGCCTTGTAAGAACCCGAGTGGAAAACCCAGTCAAACCTACAGAACTATGAAATAGTAAATGTGTGTTTAAAGCTAATTTTGTGGTAACTTACTAGGCAACAATTAAACAACTAACAAAGTGGTTTTCCAGCTTGGTTGGGCAGTTTGACAACAAATATTTAGCATGCACTCGCTAGGTGCCAGGTACTGTTTTATGTACAGGGGACCTGGCAATGAACATGAGGCATGGCCTGTGCCCTCAAGGGTCTTACACTCCAAATGAGGAACTTACATTTGAATGGAATGGACAGTGAGCCCAGATTTGGATCTGCCTTCGAGGACCACTGACATTTTTCCCTTTGTGTTTAAGGTACCTTTCATCACTGGCTGATCTGTTTTGCCCGTGCAGTGACAGGCGTTCTATTTCCAATTCTCTGTGAAGACCATGGCATAGGGACTGCCCTGAACTGGAAGCTAACTCCTGTCATCAGTCTGGGTCAGTTCTCAGACCAGTATGGCTGGGGTGTCAGTAACCGAGGAATAGTATCTCTTGAACATAAATTTTACTTCTCATCTCTCCCATGATTACATTAAATGGGATAGAAAAAGGTTTTCAAATTACCTAGCAGTGTTTAACAGGGAGCTCTAAAAATACTGTTTGAAAGAATCCTTCTCTCATTATTTTGGTTACTGGTCCTTTCCAAATAGAAAACCACTGTATAAATACTGCTGCCCTGTTCCTCTCAAGATAATTGAAAAATGAAAATGGCTACAGCTTCAGAATAACAATGATCTCACTGCCAGGGGGACCAGATGCACGGCCAGACATGTTAGCGTCTCGCTTGCAGTGTGAGGGGGGGCTGGCTGGGTGTGAGCCTCCCTAGGGACCCTGTGCAGAGCCGGGGCTCTCTCCCCACTCACAGCAGCATTCCTCAGGGTGGGAGGCAGGACTGCGACCACTGAGTGAGAAATCAGGATTCATATATGTCAGGGAGAGGCAGGAGTCCCAGGGGTAGGTGGAGGTGCCAACACATAGCTCAGAGAAGACCAGTGCCCACCCTGATGTCACCCAGGAACTAGTGTAAAAGATGGGATTAAAAACGGCCAGTGTCTCGCTCTTTGTTACAACATCTCAACATCATGGCTCTTCCTTGAGGAAGGCTAGTCATTGCTGCTTCGTGTGCCGTGGGTTATTTATTTATTTAGGGACCTCTGAAGCCCAACTAGCCTTAAATGCTATTAGATGCTTTAGAGCTCTCTGCACCTCAGGGAGGAACCTATAGTCAAACTCATTTCAAAAGTTAATGGGAAAAAGCTAATGGATTCTGAAGGACAGAGTACGTAATGTATATACACATTTTTCTCAAAGGACTTGGGGGGAGGGTGGAATCATAAGAATGTACTAGAAGAATAGCCTCACTGGGCCCCAACTGCTGGACCCAGCCTGCTGTGCAGGTTGATGATTCTACTTTCTTCCAGGAACAGAAGGGGGTCACAGTCTCATGCGCTGTAGGAGGTACCAGAGAGGAGGCAGCTGCCCCTGTGCCATCAGGCTGTCCCCACACCCCCCAAAAGGATGGGTCCACCTGTTCTTAGTCACCAATCACTTCAGATTTGAGGAGGCTACTCTTTCTCTCCTCTCTAGATGACATCTCTTCAACCACACGCCAGAAAAACAGCTGCCAAGGGGCTTTTCAGCCTGGAGTCTATAACCTGGGCTGATTCTGGAATCCAGGGTTTTATTCATTTACATGGCAGTAGGAGGCTTTTTACCAGTGTAGTTAGCTAAGCTTTCTTAAACATGGAATGTAACTGTCCTAGGTTAGCCACTTCAGGAGGCCCTCATTTCTAATCAATATCTTCCTCTTTTCTAAATGAATTTCTCAACCACTAACCATAAAGCTCCATACCAGTCTGTCCATTGTTCTTCAGAAATACCTTATGCTTTCCTATCTCCATAATGCTTCTTGTGCCATTCTTTCAACCTAGTACATTCCCCTCTCACAAGAAAAAAATTTTTTTTTTTTGGCTTCAAAATCAAAGTTTCTCCATAATAAACCCTTTCCTGACCACTCTGGATGGAGGTGAGTTTTTCCTTCTCTGAAGTCAAATAACACTCTCTGCCCACACACACGGAACTCTTCATTCTACCCCTGGAATGTCAAGAAGGTTTAATACAGACATTTGACTCCTTCTCTTAGCCTTTCCCAGTTGTGCTCTGTAGAACTTGAGGCTTAGAGAATACTATGACAAGTTAAAGAAAAAAAAAAAAGAGCTCTTCTTGGTAAAACAGAATGAGAAATGCTTGGTTAGACAGGTTTCTTTCTAAAGTATTTCTTAAAGTCAATGTTCATCATGAAACTTCAAAAAGAGGATATAATATGTGGCATTTCCAAGCTCACAGGGCCATCGGGGATGAAAACCCTGCTTAAAGGAAATCAGGCTTCTTGTGCTTTTCCCCCATTACCTTGTAATTTTATTTTTGTCCATATCTTTATTTTTTGTCTATTTAAAAAACCTTATTTTTCAATTATAGTTTATATTTAATATGATTTTGTATTAGTTTTAGGTGCACAGCACTGTGGTTAGATAATCATATCCCTTACAAAGTGTTCCCCCAATATTTCCAGTACCCACCTGCACCATACAGTTATTACAATATTATTGACTACAGGTTTCTTGGGCTTAATGACAAGTAAACCTACCCGTATTCAACCGATGGTTTTCCTGAGCAGTTCTATCAGAGTTCACATTCAATGTAATAGAAAACATGTTCTTTATAGACATGCATTTTAAAAGGATCCTGTAAGGAATCCATAGGGGATGAGACTCACTTTTTTCAAAGGGAATACTCCCTGACAAATTAATCAGTTTGCATGGGGGGTCTATATTTGATCATAGAAGTTTCTTGAAGCAAGGAGTATCTCTGTTCACCTCTTAAACTTTACATCTTGTATGTTACAAGTAACATAAAAGTTGTACAAGAAATATTTATGGAATAAACAACCTCTTGGAGCCCATCACAAAGAAACACATTCTTATCTTCTAGAAAGATGACCAGCATATCTGATCAACTAATAAATATGACATTCATCCCCCATCCCCATTTTTTCTCCTCTCCGGACAAAATAAAACCACTTTGCTCTTTTTCCCCCCAAGATGTCTTATGGGCCACGTGGGCTCATCACCTGCACACTCCACAATGCGGGTGCTGAGTATGGGGATAATGAGGGGCAGGGAGGTAAGATGGGGACATTGCTGTCTCAGCCCCAGAAGCTGTCTCTACCTGGTAACAGGTGCCAAGTTCTCTCCCATTGGCTGAGAAGGACAACATGCCCATTGCCAGATCCACGAGGCAGCCGATCTCCAGGTCCACGTTGCTGCGACTTGACCGTTGGGAAGTAGCCACGATGTCCCCACCCCAAACCATGTAGCAGTTGCTGCGTTTTACACTAGGGGCCAAAAAGATAAAAGGCACAGAGTTGGGACTGGGGCAGTTTGCAAGCAGGACTCAGGGATGAACTGCCCCTGGCTTGCCAGTCTGCCCCTAATAACACTTTTTCCTAAATGAATTTATTCAGCTTCAACCCAGTCTCCTCAGGCACAAATCACTCAGTTTAGGGATGTGATAATCTTTCAGGTTACTTTGGTCACAGAGCCTAACATATGGGGAACTGGTCCCCAGCTAAACGTCAACCCACTCTTCTGAACTAGAGAGCGGGGATGGTGGTGCAGAGATGGAAATGGAGGCACAAACTGGGTGACTCCCACAAGCAGACTCGTATAGGCAGTTGGTATAAGAGGCAGGAACAAAATTCTGTGTTCAGAGTCCCAGCCCAGTGTCAGGGCAAAAAATAAATAAACAAACAAATAAAACAAATCATTAAGACACTTGGAGACTCAGAGCCACATTCTTTAGGATGTCAGGCCTGGGCCTAGGAAGACTTGAAAAATAGGTCAGGTTGGTCTCAGGGGGAACAAGACACAGTCGCCTGGGGCCCCTCTGGGCCATAACCAGTCAAGGATTTTTTCCTCTGGTGGCAGTGCCAGTGGATTGGGTGTGCCTAAAATGTTTTCTCCCTAAAGATCCCTAATTTCTATCCAGTGGTTATTATGGATGAATTTGCAATATCTTTTTTGTGTTCTTGGTGCTTTCAACCATGGCAGACTCTCGGGATCAGGAGTCCTAACTTGATCCGTTGAGATGTGATGCAGTACATTATTTTATTTCTTTTGAAGTGAGTTCTCTCAGGCACCTGGGGATTCTTCTCTACCTTGTTGTTCTGATGTTGTAGAAATAGAGACTTGCCCAGAAATCATGGAGAAGAGTCTGAAACAAAGCCCAGAGCTCCCAACTGTCCATTTGCATTTCCCATCCTTGGGTCATGTTATATATACGCGATGAAACTACCCACTGTTTTCTCTAATAACATATCTTCCCTCATAGTACCCACACCCACCCTTTTACTTAAGAATTTTAAGCCTGTGCTTCATTTTCCCTTTTTAACATTGATAGATGCTGGATGTTTCCTTCTTTCGAGGTGTGGGGGTTAGAGGGAAAGAGACTGCTAGGGGGAGGAAGTGAGGAGACCCCTTACCTTTCATGGACCCGGCCTCTTTCATCCCCCAGAGTAACAGTCACTGTACAGTTTTTATTCAGGTCAAACTTTTCACTGTATAAGTGATAGTCAGGAGTCACCCATCCGACCCAGACACAGGATGGGTCCTGTCCAGCAAAGATGCGGATTGCATAGTAGCACTGCTGGAGAGAGACCACAGGTGAGTGAGTGGCCCCCAGTTAGGGGGAAGGCATGCTCAAGAGGCAGAAATAAAGCAGTAGCCCCCTTGGCCCTTTTTTCTTAAAAAATGCACATGGTTCCATGGGTGTACTGCACTGCATTATAGACTTGGAAGTAGGGCTGACTAGACAGTTTGGCTTCCTTATTTTTCTATTTTCTGTTGTGATTTAGCAACTAGAGAATCAAATACATTGTCTACCATCCTCTGCTCAGGAGAGGCTGCTGAGGAAATAAGTGGAAGCTGCTCCGAATGGCCAGCACAGAACCCTAACCCTCTCTGGCCTAACTGTGTTTGCCCTGAGAAGGGGAACAGCTGAGGCTTAGAGAACTCCTACTGTGTGTTCCACTTCTGCAGGGAAGTCTGGGATATCTTTTGAAAATCTTGAAAAAGATGCTGTGCAAAAAGCTCCTATTGTTGTCATCGGGCTCATTGACACAGTGTGGAGAATTACACCAGTTCTTGGTGGATCCCATAACAATTTGTGAAGTGTATCCCTATGTTACAGAAATAGCGAAAGCTTTAAGGTGATTGCTTCATCATGCTCTTTATGAAACAAAGCACATTTATTCTTAATGAAGTTACTTCTATTTGTTGTCTGTCACATCTTTTAACTAGAAGATAAAAGGATCAGCCCATGGAACCTGGGCTTGGATCTTGGCAGTGGCAGCTATTGATCACGTGACCTGGGACAAGTCATTGGTATACTCTGTGTCTCAGGGTACATAACAGTGTCCATCCCACGGGGCCGCTGTGTGAATTGAGTGGGAAGGCGATGCAGTGCACCTGGCACAGTTTCCTGCACATTCTACATCTGTGACCAAGGCAGCAAGAATCCTACTCCTGATGGCAGTTAACCTATGAGCTTGAGACAGTAGGATAAGGGATGATGTGCATTTCTTCCAGAAAACATTTTTTTTTTGGGGGGGAGGTCAGGTGCTAAAAGAAAATAAGAGTGAGAGAAAGAAAGCAGTGAAGAAGGCCTGCTTTCTAACTACTGTTTAGCTATAGAAAGGGGACCAAAAGCAGCCTTTATTTTCTGGGCTGGTTCTCTGGCTCCTTTTCTCTTAACTGTTTACAACATTATTCAGCATTGTTCTAAGAGATGGGCAAGTTGATTCATAGGAGTTTACATAAAAGAGCAAACAAAAGGATTAAGGTAAGACCCCCCAACTGATATTCATTTCAATTAGACAGCAGTGCTGGGTCCCTGGCGGTAAATGGGCAAGAAGTATGCAATGATGCCCAATTAGATGCTCCAGGTAGAGCTTCCCCTGTGCACTCAATAACTATCTTCTCTTCCCCCATCTGAGCAATGCCATAGATGTGTTTTGGAAGCATCAAGATGAATATTAAAAGACAGAGTAATTGGCAATTATGGAGGATCTCTAGACAGATCTTTGCTGTAAGGGGCATATTACCAGGCACAGCAAAGACTCAAATAATTAAAATCATAATTGAGCACATTTACTTACTGTTGTTGTTTGAGAGAGTATTTCTTGCATCTGCTTCCTGGAGGGAAGATAATCCATGTTTTAGTTATTCAGCTGTAGAGAGAATTCCATGATGCTGACAGGCAATTGATCTACCTTTAATGATGAAGGCTAGTTTAGGAAACTATTTTCTATACATGAATGCTCCCAACTGTTTTTGGGCTTGTTCATTTGTAACGTGCTACCACCAGTCAAGGCTGTGGCTTCCAACTCTTGTCCCTCAGCCCAGGAGGTGGGGGTGGGAATATTGAAAAGATTCTAATACATTATTAGGGATACCTTTGAATACATTCTGTTCTCCCCAGTAGCTGTGCCTGTTTAAAGCTTGGTAGACAGTGGAATTCTAGAGGAAACCTGGATGAGACAGCTCCAAACAGGCAGACACACATCAACGATTAAAAATAGACATTAAAAAAAGAAACATAGTAAGGAATATCTTCCTTATCAGGAAGGAAGAAGTCACATTACTCATGAGTCACCCAGTGTCTAGGTTGGACATTGGCCATGGTTACACAAAGGCAACAGTATTTTCCTCCAGAAGTTTCTAACTTCAAACAAAGGCATCAACAACTGCACCCTCTCTTTTTTTTACTCTGAAAATAGAGTCCTTTAGGTTACAAGGAGGCCAGGGACTCAGAGGGCTCAAGAAGAACAGAAACTTTTCCACTATATGCAACCCTGTGTAGCTTGATCAGTCCCTTAATTCTGCATTGCTTGTGTGTGCACAGACATGCACTTATATGCCCATGGGTACACACACAAGTCCTCTTTTCTTTACCTGACCGAAAGCGGAGAGACCCCTACCCACGGAGGTCTAGTTGTGTTGAGGTAGAGTGAGAAACAGACAGATGGAAAGCCAACTTCACAACAGACACAATGAGCACCTCTGAGAGAGCTGGAGGTCTCGCCCTCACCTCTTCTGGAAAGCGTCACCATCCAGACAGGGGCTGTGGCTGAAGGAGGAGTGGCACTCCACGGGCATGCTCAGGCGGCAGTAGATCATGCTGGCATTGCTATTCTGGGTACCAAATGTCTTGTGTGTCACCTTGAGGCATGGGGGGCTGTCCATGGTGCTGTCAATCCTCATGACCTAGAAACACCATAGGTCCTTTACCAGACACACCCAAGAGCGTGACTCCACCCTGTCCCTCCTTCCGTCATTGCTATAACATAGGTCAATACTCTCTGAAAACTATGAAAGTTGTCTCAAATGATTACCAAACCATTACTCTCAATGTTACTTGTACCCTGCCCTATAGAAAATAATGGATCTTCTTCTGGTTGGAGAAATCAGAGATTTAAAAACACCCCCACTGGGTTTTCTGCAAGGTCAAGGATGGAGAACAGGTGCAAGACAGGGGCACAGTATCTGGATAATGCGGCATGGTGTCCACTGAGGCTGACCTTTCAGGCTAGGGGGGAAGTGGCTAAAGAAAATCTTCCCAAAGACTTCCTTGTCAACGGGCCTGGGCATATCATAGTGAGAGGGTCCTGGAAAGCCCAAATCTCAAGAAGAGAAATCACAGCTCCCTCGGAGAGTCCTGTCTCTTGTCAGTGCATTTCCCAGCTCTGCCACTGCCACAGCCACAGCCACAGCCACAGCCTGAGTGCCGAGGCCCCCTGAAGCCTCTCTAAATGTGGGGAATTCCTAGCACCAGGGCACCAGCATTGCAGGGAAAGAGTTTGGAGGAGGAAAGATCAAAAGTGGATTTTTAACAATGTGTGAGTGTGGGGGATGGGGAGCAGGGAACAGACAGTAAAATGGGACTTATAATCATGTTATCATGATCCAGCATTTCCCTCGTCATTCTAGAGACTAGTTTAATCCTGGGGTCCACGAGTATGCTTAAGTATTTTTGTGTGATTTGTAGATTTTTTTCTTAGTGGAGGGTCTCTAGAATCCATCGGTTTGTGCGTCACCTTCCTAAAGCGATGGTCCGGTAGGAATCTGAGAAATAAAATTCTCCACTGCATAAGACTGTGAGGAAAAGTGGGGTGTTAAGAGTTGGTGCTTGATGAATTTAGATTGTAAGGTGAGTTAAGGGAACTTACAGGCAGGTAGAAGCAAACCACTGAGTCTAATGCTTCAGTGAGCTGACCCGTCTGACTTTCCATCACTGCCCCACCCTCTATCTTCTGAAAAAACCATGGTAGGCAAGTAGATGTTGAATCAAAATCCAAACCAGGGGAGCCCAAATCTTTGGCTCCACTCAGCTCTCCCTACCAGATGAGAGCATCATAATAAACTACTATGCTTCAGCTTAAGATGCTGGAAATGGTTCGGTAGAAATTAAATATGGCCTAAAGGACACCAGTTTATGAGCATAGAAGAATCATGTCCAGGACATCTTAAATATAGGTACTGAACATTTTTAAGAAAATGGCATTAAGGTCTATGAATACTATATTGCTATGACAATAGCAGTATAAAAATGTCTAGAGAAAACACAGCAGCCCAAAAGCTTGGAGACTGATCTGCCAAGTGGCTGCCATTTGTATGAGGCCACTGAGCTGCCCCAATGAAGGCATCTGCAGCTGCAGCTCTCAGGGCCAGCCAGCAGAGGGCTGGTAGGCAGCCAGGACATGGACTTAGGTAAGCAGCTGCCCTGTAACCAGAGCATTAGCAGGGGCTTAGTGCCTTGGCCCACCTGTCCTGCCAGGGCTGCCCACGATGTGTAACATTACCTCTATATGGGGATGATCCTTTGGCACGTTGACAAACGTCGGGAGGCGCTTGCTGAACCACATTGCAACATCTCGGTTCATGTTGACAGCAAAAGGCTCAAAGCCCTCTTGGAGGCCGCACATGGTATAAAACTTGAAGGTACTGGCGTCCATCCCGAGGTTCATACGGCCGATCTGAGACAGTCCCAGGGAGCAGATGGGCACAAAGCCTGCAGAATGGGGAAAGAGAGCCCTGCCTGAGCCTGCAGTGCTGCCCCAGGAAGCTGCGAGGAAGCCAAACTTGTGCTTCCGTAAAGGTGCTGAGTCCCAGTCACAAAGATGGGACACTATTCTTTGTTTCTTCCTAGCATGTAAACTCAACAACAGGAGGCACATGGAGATTATGGCTGCCCTTAGTGTATGGGAAAGTAGTTTGGTTTGAAATAATTTGGGGAAAAAATAGTCATCCAGCCAAGATTATTCTTAAACTATAAATAAACACAAGCTGTAAAAGTAAAACCAATAAGAGAAAAGGTAGAATTCTCTATCTATCCATGCCTTAGCTAAAATTGCTATCGGGCCTGAGGATTTTAACTGCCCCAAACAACAGCACAAGAAAACTGAAGAATGACTTGGTGCAAATGCCCAACTTTTCTAGGTCTCAGCATATTTCCAGGGAAATAAGACCTCTAATGGCTCTTCCCATTTCAGCAGTATGATTCTGAGAAGTTTTAAATGCTAACACCATGACTCTGCTTGTTCACGAAATACAGTTTATAAACCCTCATCCTCCTAGCCTATGGTTATGGTCCCCACTGGGCAGGAAGGCAAGAGATTTGAGCAGAAGCTGTAGAAAACTCTCTTCCCTCCAACAGTTCCTGTCTCTCCAAGCTCACATCATGTTACAAAAACACTGCCTGCAGAACAGACCAAGGCAGAAGTCCTAATTGTTCAGTATTCTTCTCTGTGGGCTATTTATAAATCACTATTGTGGACCAACAAATCAGCAGCTCTGGGAAAGCACTAATTATCCCGGATTGGGGAGGGTGTGGGAGGCAGGCGGCTGAGAGTGCTCGGAGGGGAGGCAGGCTCTGAGGCTAAACCAGGGGTTGGAGCCCCCAGAAGAAAACCGGTGTCACTTCTAGGGCAGGGATGTTTATTTCAGGGGACATTTAAAAGCCGATTTTGGTATCTTGCACTCCACAGTAAGAGAAGGACCATTTTGATCATAGAGACCAGGGCTAAAACGTGCCCCTCCTACCATGAGTGCTTCTGCACAACACAAAGGTTGTATGTAAAGAAGCGAAGGAAGTGGAAAGTAAATCTCTCACAAGCTAAGCTGCTTGCTTTCAGAAATGATGAAGTCATTAAGGACATTATTTACAGTAACACTGTTTAATGTAATTTCTAAATACAGCTTTAATGCAATACTAGCAGAGCAAGGGTGATATCTATATTGAAATTCTCCTCTCAGGGCCATCAAGGACTGGGAGTAGACAGGTGACCATGGCCATGGCCCTCAGGAAGGTGAGTGGACAGGTCAATCAGACAAGCAACCATTCAACTTCCTGAGCACTGCTGTGCTTCTGGCATGTTCACAGTAGGGACTCTGATAGGTGAAACCATCTCCTTTCTACAGATAGAGGTTTTTATGAATAAGGGACCTTTGGAAATCTGACTCCAGTGTGAAATAGGATTGCTTGCTAGCAAAATCTTCAATTGTCACAGGGACAAAGGGCTGCTACGTGCTGTAAGATGTGAAGGAAGGAGAGGAAGCTGTCCATAGAGCTTGCAGATATAGAAATGACAAATAAAATACGTAAGAGTGAGTGTTATGCTATAAACATCCCTACTCCCAAGACAGTATTTTGGTCTTTGATGCAGTGTGGTGGCCCAACCAGAAAACTACCACCACAATCATTTTTCTTGGAGCCACAATCCCAAAGTGTTTCAGCCTGATGCGAGAAGCAATAGGACGTCTTCAGAAACACTCTCATCTCCTTTCTTGTCTATTAACTTGAACAGTGGGACAAGCAACAGGTGTAAAAGCCGAGTTGAAAGAAGCATGGATGAGAATTTCTGAATAACCCAGGTCATATGAAAAACTTCCTGTGAATAACAGTCACACTAACAATGTAAGACACGTGCCAAACGGAGAAAAAGTCATATGAACATGGAGCCTTGTTTTCTAAGGAACTCATCATTCCTAAGCTATCAGTGGAAGAAACAGCCCTCCACTGGGGATGAACCTGGAGACGGGAGGAACTAACAGACTTGACCAAGGTCATGAGAAGGGCAAGTGATAAAACAGGACAAGATCCCACACCCTCTGACTCATAGCCCGGCTGCCAGTCAGTCTGTAAGAGGGGGTGAATGTTACAGGGGATGATGCCCCAGACTTAAACAGCAGTTATGTGCCAGCCCTGGGGGCTATACTCGTTACAGAGTCAAGTGCAATCACTACAGGGCAGAAGCCCTCTTCACAGGGTAGAGTGCAACGTTGCATGAGAACAGGTGAGGCAATGAAGCCATGAAGGTGAACGCCATGGGAAGGAAAGAGAGTGGGGACCTTCTGGGGGCTACGTGGGCACAGCTGAGACAGCTCTGTAAAGCAGCAAAGAAACTAAATCCAAACCTTAAGTCAGAAGAGAGAAAACCTGAAAAGTACCAAGAACAAAGGTAAGTCCTTAGAAAGCACCAGCACTTTCTCCTGGGGCAGGATATTTGATAACTGGATACATTCGATCAGCTCTCTACACGTTGTGGACAGTCTCTGGCTAATTATTTCTGTATATCTAAAATTTCTTCACTTAAGGCACTAACACTTCATGTAACTTTATAACTCTGCATGATAGATAAGGGGGAATAATGACGATAAAGCCCAATAGCTAATATTTATCAAATACTTTCTAAGCACTGGGCTTAGGGCTCTATAGATTTAGCTCATTATTATTTCCACTTTAAAGATGAGGCAAGTGAGACTTAGCAGCTGGAATGACTGGCTCAAGGTCTGTCACCCAGGAAGCAGCAGAGCCAGCACGTGAGCGGGGCAGCCTGGGAGGCAGTCCAGAGCAAGCAATGGGGGTGAGACGTGGGTGACTGCTTTCGAATTCTTACGCTCAATGACTTGATTTGCACCTAACTCTTCCTTCACTTTCCTAGTGATTTTCTGAAGTGTCATGCAGTTGTGGACCAGTCTGCCTCTAGCTCAGCAGCCTGAGTTCCATGACCATAAGACCTAGGACTGAAGACTCCAGGTCACTTACAGGAAAAGGGCTGCCTGTCACAACTGGCCACATGGCTCCCTGGAGTTGATCTGCATAAAAAAGTCCCATTTGGTGAGGCCTCATGGCACTTCTACGAGCTCTGACTCTCATAGGCACTTTGCACACAACCCAATTAACCCACAGCTACAAGTTAGACTAGAGAAGGAAGAAGACGGGAAACTAACGGGGGACAGAAACACCCGCTTCCTCTTTGAAGAGGTTCGAGAGGGAAATGTGCATACGGCATTACCTTGAACCAAGATATGCATGGGGTTTCTTGCTCCAGGAAGGGAACAACAACACATGCACTTAAATCCTGCAGACCCAGGTTCTGATATACGTTCTATCACAGGGCTTCACACTGATTTTGTGATTAGGAAGGGGAATGGCAAGGAGGTCATCTTTTTATAATTCAGGAGCTTGGAAAGAAACCAGTTCTCTGGAAAATCCAAACCATGGATCCATTTTTAATCCATCAAACTGAAGACAGACAAGAGAGCAAATCACCACCAGCAATGGAAAAACACATCTTGGAGAGAAGTGGGTAGATGATTGCCCAGACCATTCCTGGGGCGTTTCTGTGCGTCTTAATCCCACAGCGTGTGTTTTACCCTGTAATTTTCATTTCCCGCTAAGCCTCAAGAAGACGGGGTTCAGGGACAGTGCTGAGTTTGTCACAAGCCTTGCAGAAAACACGGGGAACAAAAGGCATGCTTCCCCTGCCACAGCTACATTTTGAAGTATACCACCCATTAGCAGAAAGACTGACGGGGCAAGCTTTGGTATCAATGTGTTTGTGTGCAGATGGCAGCGACACTGCTGCAAGTTAAGTTTCATCTGCTGCCTATGGAGGTGCTACTGTCAGAACTGGGGGAGCTGTTCAACTCCAACAGGCTAATGGCGGGAACAGCCGAGGAGCTGCCCCTGCAGACATCAGAGCTGTAGTAGGAGTAGGATGTCCCCCAGGGGAGCGCCTGGCACAGAGGTGGAACAGGAGACTGGCACTCACACCTCTTCCAGACATCAACTCTGAGGTCTGGCAAGATGTTCAGGATTTTATCTTCCATCCCTTTAAATGGAATAAAAGAGAAGACTAATTGCAAAGGTTTCACCATGGAAGCTTCTGAGCTTTCAGACTATAGGTGACAACATTAAGAGCTTTAATGGTCCAGGCCAAGGATCAGGGTCAGGAACAATGATTAGAACAATTTGAATGAGGCAGGTAAATGCATATAATCTACGATGCAGAAGAGGATGGAGAGAACAATTTATAAATAACCCAGAGGAAAAAAGAGCCGTCAATTTTAATGTCTGCTCCCATTCCTTCTCTCAAAGGACTAACAACTTCCCACAGCACAACACACACTGGGATAATGGGCCTGAATCAAAGCTGGGGGCTGGAAACCGGAACACAAACGCATAGGGGATTTTGCTTTATGGGGGCGACAATGCATGGAATGTTTTGTTTTCAACAGATGCTTCTCCTAACAGCTCAAAGCAAGAACTGCTGCCTCTTTCCACTTTATACAGCAAACAGAGAGATGCTACATGGTTATTCCAGGCCTCTGAGCCATTGTTATCAAAGAATGGCACAAAGACTCTTTTTTAATTACTCTTTCTGAGGCGTCACAGACAGAAAGCCTTCCAATTACCTTGTCTCTGTGTTATTAAAGTGCGATATGATACTACAGTTTAATGTGTTAACATAAGACAGTACAATTCTATTATAAAACAGCTTCCTCGTATTAGACTTTATTATTCTGAAGGTCAAATCACACCTCTACACAAAAATGTCTATGAGGTATTTCTTTCTGTATTAACAGATGATCTCTAAAAGCAGAGTTATTCTAAAATATCCCTCTATTTTGTAGTATTCCTCCACTCAAACCCTACAACAGCTCTCCATGCCTTAGAGAAGGGAGTTCACTCATGCTTGGCTCAGATTAGACAATGAAAGTATCTTCAATGAAAAGACTGAGTCTTGGTATCTGAGGCTGTAATCTGTACCTTGTCTTATTTTTTCAGCTTCATCTTCCATAAATTCCACACACAAATCTTCCAACCTGTCTGGCCCTTTCCTGCAGTTCCCCGATTCCCCAGCAATCCCCTAGCTGTATCTCCTGAGGGGGGTGCCAATCCCCTGAGAGGGGGTCATCTCACGCTCCTTATTTAACATTCAGTGCCAATCCCGACCTTACAGAATTTTCATTCTGTATTAGTCACTTGCCTTTTCTAACCAATGGCTTTACATTATTATTTTTTTTTCATATTTTAATCTTATTTATCTGTTTTGTTTTTATTACTTAAAAAAGCTTCATTTTTTAAAAAAATTATATTTCTGACTCTGGGCTTGTGCCCTCAACACTTCACAGTGATTTTCTGCTCCTCGATACGGTGAGTATACTGGGTCCCGTCATGGACACATTCAGCATGCATGGCTTCACCACAGATCCTGCTGACACGGTTTTTCCTTTTAGACCGCCTCATTAGACTTTAGGTCTCACGGCATGAACTCTGAGAAGTCAGCCGGCACATGCCATGTGCAGGGTTTGGTGTTTTCCCAGCCTTCTTGGTATGAAGGTAAACAATTCTATTACCAGGGGATCGGGACAGCCTAGTTTAGTTAGGGGCAGGACAGTCTCCAATGGATGGAATGTCAGATGCTGGACCACTGTGAGTGCCTATGGACACCATCCCCGGAAGAGCTCATCTTATTTATTTTTACAGCAAGAAAGTGAACTCTCTAATACAGGTACCACTTGCAGGTCTGTGTATTGCAGAGCACAGCGTCTCATCCTTTAAAATGCATACAAACCAGAGTCTCTTGTCTGAATTCAGTTTCTGATTCAGTAGGTCTGGTGGGGCCTGAGAGTCTGCATTTCTCATAAGTAAACCACACTTTGAGCAGCAAGGCTTTGGACTTTACAAAGTTCTCCTAACTCTGCACCATAGACAAGATTCTTATTTCTTCCTCATGTTGAGTCCAAGCCTCACAGATAGGTACCCCTCCCCACCCAGTTAACACACAGGAGAGCCAGGAAGAAGTGTGGACCCCTTCTAACCCGGGTGCTCCCTTCCTTGGGGATGAGCCTGAATCTTTTAGTGTTCCATTTTCTTCATGGCCTGAGGAAGAGAGCGCTGCCTGTGGAGGGTGCTGGGTAAACATCTGTTTCCTAAGAGCAGTGCCAGGAGAGGTCCGTCTGCACTGCCCTCATGTCCACCTACAATTTCCCCTTTTTTGTCTCTGGCCCAGCGCACTAGCCTTTCTTTCTGATGGCAATGTCTTCCCCACCTGTCTCCAAAAATAGGATTCTTTCTTTAGAACTCTACTTTTAAACCTCTCAGAAGGCATTAAAATAGGACTCCATTTTGCTTTAGCCATCCTGTCTTTCTAGGAAAATACCTTGACTTGCAATCTTTCTATCTGCCCAAATAGGTGGCTCTCAGAAAAATCTTTAAAGCTCTTCTATGGAACAGTTGGACAGGAGTGGCACAGGTAATAGGTATGTGCAAAAAGTATGAAAGTGACTTATAAAGCTAAAGATAGTCTGTAAGTAAGAAATATTTATATTACTATACATACAGTTTCACATATTTCTGCTGCTCTTGCCTAGGCAGTTTTATCTTTTTTAGCTTTCTCAGTGGGGACTGTTTCTTTTTTGTGAAGTCCCAGGGATTTAGAGCTAGCAAGGAGCAATAATCATTTTACGGGGGCGGGGATGAGACACGAAGGTATTGAATCAAGTGGATCCAAGAGGTCATAGGCGGGGGCTGGGCAGAGGCAGGAGAGCCCAGGTCTCCCCACTGGAGCAGCCTCTTTCCTCCTCAACCCCTCTGCCTCCTCCTCGTCTGTAAGTCTGTAATGAAGCAGCAGGGTGGCAAAGCTCCAACCAGTGCTGTGTGCACAGCACATAGTAGCCATTACCATAGAATTTTATATCTGACAAGGGGGTTGGAACTTTGTAGTCTACCCTCTTATTCTCTGGTCTATTGTAGATGAAGAAAGTGAAGCCCACAGAAGGCAAGCCAAGACTCTCTGGGAGCCACAGAGCTTGTCAGGAGCGAGGCAGCTAATTCTCAGTCCAGTGCTCCTTCTCCTATATGCCAATAATGTTTGTACACAATGTAGTTCTGCAGACAGGAACTAAGAAGTGCCAATTGCTCCTTTGTGTTTCTAAAGCGCTGCCCTGATTGCGGTCTATCCATGGCCATTAATAAATACCATTGTGCTTCGGTTTCACAGTGGTTGAATTGCAAAATAAATTGTATTTCATTCAAGGGAAGAGCTAAGTTGAACTTTTGTGTTTCAATGGTTTTCATCAAAGCAGCAAGTTCAATTACACACGCAAGTAGACTGACAATTTAAATCAGAATAAAAAGATAATTCTTTAATTCATTGACTTTTCTGTTCTGCCAGGGACATCCATCCAGATATGATTAGCATTTCCTTTGTAATACCAGGAAACTTGGGGAGATTTGAACTGCCAAGATGCAGACCAGAGACTTGGAGGGGAGCATCTTCATCAATCTATCTGAAATTCAGAACTTATAACTTATGCTGTACATATCCACTATCCCTATTATTTATCTTGATTTCAATAATAATTATATAAGAGCTTTTACCACTGGAGTTTTTACCACCAGGTGTTCAAATATCTAAAGGACAGTATACTTAAACAAAGAGGTAGACAAGCCCACTGAGCTCTCCCTGGATTTTCCTACAATTTCCCAACTCCTCTTGGAGTTGGAATGAAGGGAAAGGTGGTGGATTTACCATTCTCAATCTCATAATCTGCGAAGGCAAGTTCTGAGCCTTTGTTGGTGATCAGCAGCTCCCCATTTAGTGTGAAGATCATCGAAGCATCATCCAGGTTAATCATACATCCAACCACATCTCCTGGTTGCCAGGTACGTCCAAAATACCCACTCCCTTGATGCCAGCGCTGGCCCTAGGAAATAAGATCCCAGAGTTTAGAGATATGAGGTCCTAGAAGCAGCCCCCAGGCAACTAGAGAAATGGCCAAAGGAGCAATTTCTCCTAACTGGCAGTAGTACCTGGTTTCTATAAGATACTCACTTCTCTACCAAGGACAAGTCACAAGAAGGGGTGATCCATCTTACAGATGAATGAAAATGAGGTACGTAAAGCTCATCAGAAAAGGTGGGTCAAGTCTCCCAATACCTCGGCAGCTATGACAATTAGTGGGACCCTCCCTATGACAAAGTGGTAAGACTTTCCTAGATACCAGCCACACAGTCTTCTGTGAACCTCCTCTGGAGTAGAGACAATGAGCTCAGGGACAAGGGCAGATATGCAGGTGATTACAGAAGGGACTTGGGTATACGGTCCTCCCCTTCACCAGAGCAAAGAACAAAGAGCAAAGTGATAATCACTAGGCAATAAATCATTCAATGGTTTAAATTGCTAGTGGTGGTGGCCACTGATTTTGAAGCCAGAGACCCAAATATTCACTAGTTCCAACTTCTGGAGAAATGTTTGCAGAAGGTGGACTGAGGATGCGTGGACACTGTCCAGACTCACCTTGCTGCCTTCAAACACAAAGGCTTGGTCATCGGCGCCCAGCTCAACATCAGGCCGACAGCCTGGCCTGGCCCAGCCAACACGCATGTCTCCTCCAGTCACCACCTCGAACTCAAAATACCACTTTCCAGATCTCACTGCATAAGACCGCTCTACCCGGAAAAATCGGATCTTGTCTATGCTGACTTTCTCCACAGCTGGGTCAGCTATCGTGAGAAGAAAAGGGAGTTGAGGGTACAGAGGGAAGGAGAGAATGCAGAACTTTATTAATTGGGTAGCATTCCCTAAAAGAATTTGAAAACAACAAAGACTGATGATAGATATCCCACTTTCTAACATAATATTCTGTTCATAACGTATTCATCACTTGCATCATATCATAATAACAATAGAAGCTACCATTCATTGAGCAGTTACTTTATAGTAGATCCTTTAGAAACTATATCTCAGTTTTTCCTAGCAGCCATCCTATGAAGGCATTTTACAGAGGAAGAATGGAGGCTCAGAGAAGTTAATGAATTGCTTGTTCCAGGTCACAGAGCCAATAAATGCAGGAGAGCAAGGATCTGAACCCAGGTCTGTCTTACCTAGAATCTATCCCCTTAACTACTTATATTACTGCCCCAGTGGCATGGCACATCCTGGTGTATGGCATGACACTAACATGGTCATAAATTAAAGCTGTTGATTTATTCAGTGTTAGAGTTTCATTTAGGGATGAGATTACCTGGTCCAAAAGTAAGCTGATATTCACGTGTTAGGAAAATAAAAGAAATAAAGGTTTTGTGACCAAATAACCTGAAAAGCCCAGTTACCCTGGAGGATAATGTATTTCCTGTGGGATGGGGTCACAGACATGCTCATCATAGACACATCAGTCAATGGGACAATGTTTTGTTATCGAACAGGGTTCTCCCCACTCATCCCCTGCTTCTTAAAATACACCATTTAGTTTAGAACAAGCTAGACCTACTCAAAGTTAGCAAGTTAGCCTTTCCCCAGAAGAGGACAGGTTTAGTAAACTACAGGGCCAGAATGAGCAATCTCCACTCTTTACCTAGTTCTTGGTCGGACGGCTCGATGTTATAGCCATAACCAATAAACGTCCGAACAGCTTCACGAAGGCTGTCCCTGTTTGACTTCTTGGTACGCTCATCCAGTAATGCATATGGCACCAGACGGGGATTTCTCTTGTTCTTCACATCCTACACACAGCCAGAGAATAGAGGTTTGGAGTACATACATTTTGTCTTTACAAATGCCTTGTCCCACTGGTTTCCTTACATTAGTCTATTAGCTCCTCCCCCAGTGCCGTGATATTTAGCGATGCACATCTTAGTTCTCTTCAGGATTAGACGAATATAAATACAAAGCTTTTACTAATGTTCAAAGCTGGCATGAGAGAAACACATTTTAATAGTGCCAGGCTATGAATAAAATGGAGTGCCATGAAATGATTAGAAACCTCCATTCTCAAGGCAAGGCAGATGGGGATTTATGTAACCACCCCTTGTGGAATTATCATGCCAGGATTTCAACTATTAGAACCTCCTCCCTACAGCCTCTTCACAGAGAAACATCTATACGCATAGAAGAACATCAGAAAAGGTGGCAGAACCATAGTGGTCCATTTTACCGCAGTAGACACACATTTGTATTAAGAGTCTTCAGTTCCTTAGGGAGAACTGGGAGGGCAATGATAACAGCAGTGATAAGTCATTATGAATAAACATGCTCGACATGCTGTTTGAACCCCCACTCCTCTCCCTCCCATGGTTTCCTTAGTTGTGGTCTTCTTGGCTTCTACACATATATAGGTTCAGAGACTCAGATATGAATGAAAATGTGTGCACAGAGCTATGCCTGAACTTCCCTGACATTAACCCTGGTATTTACTGAGGTGAATGAAGAAGAGAGGTGTGCTAGATGGTTTGGGGCTGAACTCTGGCTCTATACTCTTCCCAATTCCTTGCTGTGCCCTGGCTCTTAGGCTGACTCCTGCTTAAGCTAAGAATCTTGGCTGCCAAGGAATCCTGGCCTGATGAACTGAGTGAAATAAAGGGGCATAGGCTTCTTGGGAGGCTGGTTTGTCCCTCTCCTGGGCTAGTGCCCCTCCTTTGCATTCTCAGTGGTGGATACCTGAGACCATTCCAGAAATACTGCTGACCTGTGATGTTGATTTGTGAGAGCCTTACCCTGGCCTTAGAGAATGGCATGAAAGCTCAACTCTGCATAAGACATGCAGCCAGACGAGGAGGGAATGAGAGCAGGTGCAGCTAGTGGGCACATGCACAAGGCAACACGATCACAAGTGAGCCAGAGGAACAAAGGAAAAGTAAGCCTACCCATTTCTACAAAATTGAAATGGTGCCTGGAGTTAATGTTGACATGACCAGTGGGAATACTGTCCAGTCCAGAGATGCTATAAATAATGAATGAGTAGAGGCAGGAGGGACAGAGTGCAAGGGCAACCCCATCTTCCAGTCTAACACCCGCCAAAGAAACTGGCATGTTGATGGATGGTCACATCTCCTAACTTTTCCAGTGGGCTTGACCCAGCACTTGCCATCTGTTGAGTGGGGCTGACCCAGCACTTCTCACCTGTTGAATGCCATAGGTCCATCCTTGTTTTATTCTGTCTTTTGCCCAGACATTATGTGCATTTTCTGCAAGCTTATCCACTAAAATTTCCTGAGGAGGTAATAGCTTCACATCAGACAAATCCAAAGGGGCTGGCTTATAGCCATTGGACATCATGTAGCTACAAGTAAATGGAAAAACAAGTATTTTGAACAGATCTGTACAACTCCCCCATTCCAGATTTTAGATCAAGAGCACATGGTGAAAAAACTATGAAAATAAGGCTGCAGCCACAGGCTCTACCGTGTAGCAGAATGGAGAGCTTGGTTCTATTTCATGTCAAAGATGAAACCCCTCATTTGCCAACCTTTCTGCCAATGTGTGTCACCAATTTCAAGGAAACTGTCAGAGAAAGTGGGTGAGTAGTACAAATCCATCCTTATTTCTAAGAAAACTTAAGTGCCTTACAAATGATAGGCATATTTAGTGGGCTGTCACCTTACCAGAAGCTGCTGCATCCTACTTTAAAACACAAAAGGGTCTAACCATACTAGCAAGGACAGGACCTTGAGCCACATGGTTCTTATAAATGAGCAGAGCATGATTGCTCCATCTTCGATAGTTAAACCTTTACTTGGGGAATTAAAAAATTGGCACTAGAGAATTTGTGAGCTTAAAGTGACCTTAGTGCTTAGGTGTCTAGTCCAGGAGTCACAGCCTCAGATGTCTTTAACTTGAAGATAACATGAAGATGGGAAAAAGCTCAGTACGAGTCTGGGTAGATGCATGTCTGAATGGAGAGGACAAGAGCACCCTGTGGAGTGGCTCTCAGAAGAGCAGCTGATCATGGCCATGTGGGGATGTGAGTCCAGGGGCGCCCATGGCTTCAGAGCCCTTAAAGTGCAGACCAAGGCCAGAACCTAAATATGATGACTTGTAGGCAAAGGCTCACACTACTTAGGAACCTCTGAGCAGTGGAAGATGCAGGGTCTATTGCAGGCATAACATACTGCCCCTTGTCTACCTCAGGACACCTGGTCTTGGGCAGAGTCAACACACATTGACTGCTGAGCACTGACCCCAGCAGCCCTGGCCAGCAGGCCGCCACTCCAGCAGCTGCCTCTCAGATGTGCTGCTTTCAGCCTCTGAGAGTGGAGCTTGGGAGTCTAACAGGGAGCAAAGGGAAGAGAAGCATTTGATTCATGCTGGCACTGCCATGGCTCATAACTAATTATGACACCTGTGTGACTGTGGGAACATCTGATCTGGCACGTGAGGGAAGCAGACAAGAGCCAGGGGATGCTCCAGTGAGTGCATTTCTGAATGTGTGGGCGCATGCGGCCCTGAACGTGCGGGTGAGAGGAAGAGTAGCACACGTGCAGATTTAGGGGCCCAAATTAGATCTTGGCAGAGATGCTCATTTCCACAAAGGATTTATAAGGCTGGCTCAATGCCAGAGGAGTGAATCCTCCTGTGCCAACCGCTGATTTTATAGACCAAAGGTAGCACAGTGTGCTGCATCGCTTGGCTCAAAGCTAACAATAGTAGTATAGATCCGGGCAGAAGGAGAAAAAAGAGGGAAAGGCTGGAAGCACTTGTACTTCGGCAGACTTCTGTCTGGGAGTTTCACTGCAGCCTTAGTGACTGGAGGAGCCTGGTGCTGCTGTCACTGTCATCTGCCTTCATGCATGGGCCTCCCATCCCCAAGTTAAAAAATTCAGACTAAAGCATTACGACTTGGACAGTTAAAAAAAATCACCTACTTTTTGGAAAGTTTGACCTTCTTGAGGTCCTCTTCAGCCGCTGGATTCACATGAACAATGTGGCACCCCAAGGCTAGGAGCGTTCTGCAGCGTATCAGAGGGGAAAGACTAGGGTCAACTGCTAGATGAAGGACAGCAAGAACCCTACATATCTGAGCTGATAAAATCAGACAATGATCATTTGTTTGGATCAGGGAGTTATCAAAGTTTTCCCGTAAGGGGACAGATAAAAAATGTTTAGGCTTTGTGGATCATATGTCAGTTACAAGTACTCAACTCTGTCATTGTAAAGAGTGGAGGCAGTCACAAACAATATGCAAATCAGTTGGCTTTGTTACAATAAAATTTTATTTATAAAAAGAGGTGGCTGATCAGACTGGCCTATGGGCCATACTTTGCCAAGTCCAGATTTAGATGATAGCAAGCATAAGAATATAAAATGTTGGTTCATAGCCCCACTTTGAGGCATTTTTGAGTACATATTTGCATTAGGATTGAACACTGCTTCTCTGATTCCAGGGAGCAGAGAGGACCTTAAATACTCAGTGAGTGACAAGTCAGTGAGTATTCTTTGTGTGTGCCCTGTACAGTGCCTCGAGTATGCGAGACTCTGGGAGGTCCCAGAGCCTCACCCTCAGGAAGCATCAGGGTGATTGAAGGCATTGAATATATGAGCCTGAGACAAGGCACCTTGGCTGAGCATGAGTACACCAACCAAACCACAGGGTTAAAGTGTTCTCCTCTGACAACTGTAGGCAGAAATACAATACCTGGAGAACAGGTAACAATTACAGAAGAAACTCAAGATGGGGGATACCAACTTGGGCTAAAAAATTTAAAGTCTGGACCAGGCTTTTAATTATGGGTGGGATCACAGAGAAACTAAAATTTGTTTTTAAATTGAATTTTAGTGAAATAAATCATGTTTTCGCATTGGTTTTTAGAAATACCTTATCTTTTTTCTTGATATAACACGAACTGCAAGACACAGTTGTTCCTTTGTGTCTGTTGCTCTTCTTTTTTTCCTGCCTACATTCTCCCTCTGACAAATAGCAAATGGCCTCTAAAAATATATATATATATATATATGCTAAGTAACAATGGTGGAGGTGTTATTCACTATGCTAAGTCCTTTTGTGGCATGAATAATCACCCTCTAACTTATCAGAATGCATTGTTTTCCAGGCAAGAGACATATCTTTGAAGTCTAGTTATAAAGCATTAAATCATCCACTCACTGTTTAGTCCAAATTCAATTCAATTAAACACTCACTTTAAGGTTTCAGTTGACATTTGTAGGTTATAATTCTTCTCGGTTTCGGGCAGCTTTGAAAACTCTACCAGGCAGGGGTGTTGTCTTTTATTGTCATCCCGTATCTAGGTGGCAACACAAAGAATATAATTTAAGTCTGACAGCTGGCGCTGCCTTGGAAAACAGAAAAGGACACCCTGTAAAACATGGCCCAGGCTGTCTATATCCGGGAAGACAAAGACAGCTGTTTGCTGATAGACAAATAGATGATCCTCTCTCTAGTAGATGATACACCAATCCCCAAACTGCCAGTGGCTTTAGCTCTGTGGACTTGTTTCTAGTCAGGTGTCTGCATTCAGAACATACTTTTCCAGAGAAGCAATTTTATACATGGTAGCCATGCTCCTGCCTGGCCAAATTCATGGAACCACAATGCTCCTGAATGGTGGCATTCTTCAGGACACATGGGACTACAGAATCAGGAGCAGGACTGTCCAGGAGCAACATAAAGTCAGCCATAAATGTGCACCACACTTGTAACTCTACATTTTCTAGTAGTTGTATTAGAAAAGCAAAAAAAAAAACCAAGTAAAATGAATTTGAATGATGTATTTTATTTAACCCTATGTTTCCAACATATCATCATTTTAATAAGTAATTAATGTAAGAAATAATTAGATATTTCATTTTTCTAGTACGTCTGCAAAGTCTGGTGTATATTTTAGAGTTACTGCATATCTCCATTCAGACTAGTCACATTTCAAGTGCTCAGTAGCCACATATGGCTCATGGCTACTGTACTGGACAGACATTAACTCATTCATTCATTCAACAAATATTGGCTGAGTGTCTACTCTGCGGGGGCACCGAGCTAGTCATTCGGAGTTCAACAGTGAGCTGGGGTAGTCCCTAGCCTATGAAGCCGATACAGTCGAATGGGGCAGGAAACAATAATAAAATGATCATAGAAATAAAGGTAAAGTTACAATTGTGCTTAGCTGTCTAAAGGAGAGGTTTGTGATATTACAAGATCGTACATACAGCACAGAGGTGGTCAGATTTAAGGAGCATATTTCATGGTAGCTATAGCAATATAGACATGCTCGAGTGCAGGAACCCTATCAGTTACTAAGCTGGACTATGCAGTCTGAGGAAGATTCAGAACTCACCTAGCCTTCTGCCTTCAAACACGACCTTATACAAATCACAGAACAAAGTTAATTTGCAGCTTCTTTGAAAAACGTTTTCTAGTAAAAGAGATTCCTTAACCTCCTCTGAGTGTCCATTAATCTTAGTGATACATCTGAAAACCATATTAAACAAATTCTGATTCAAGACAATGAACCAGCCTCTTTTTACCACCCATGCAGAAAGGACAGCTTTTCCGAAGGAAAGGGAGATGAGAGGGCTCTCTAAGGGGCATTGAGGATCGACCACATTCGATGTTCCCTCAATAAAAGAAAGCAGCATTTTGGAGTGAAAAGGGAAGTAGGTTCCTCATTCTTTTAGGCAGAGCTGGTCTCCTCAAACTCCTGACCACACTAAACAAATGACTGAACAAGCCTGTGCTGGACACAGCAGAAGCTAGACAGGTGGTAATTAAAGAGTGAATTGTGGCTCATGAGGTTCCCTTCCTCATTCAAGTCTTTGAAGGACCCCTCCCGTGGTAACAAAGCAACCCCACCCTGCACTGTGGCTGGCCACTGGGACCCGTACCTTGCCAAAAGTCCAGCCAAGCTCTATTTTGTTCATCCCCCAAAGCTCGTGGATATTTTCAGCCAGTCTGTCTCGGATCTTCTCTAGGTGAGGTGGCAAAACCACCTAAAAGAAAGAGGGACAAGTGTGAAGTCAGAACTGCAAGAGCCAACTGTACTGAAATCTATCATAACATCTGTATGGATCAGGTACCCTAGTTGAATTCACTACAGGTCACCCAGGAGGGGCAGCTTCCAGAGTTCCTTCCTCTCTTGGCTTCCTCTCAGACCATCTCTTCTCAGTCTTGTTTGCAGATACTGGTGCCACCTGTGGATGCTTCCCTGGGCCTTATCTCCCCTCCCTTCATGCTCTTGTTTTTGGAAGATCTCACCTACTCAGAGATGGGCACTTCCAAGTAAGTGCATCTCCAGCCATGGTTTCTACTGAAGTTCAGGCCCACTGTTCCAGCTGCCTGCAGGATTGCCACCCAAGTGAACTCACTATGTTATTCAAAGATGAATGCATTATCTTCCCTTTAAACCATTTTTCTTTTCCTGTTTTTATTTTCTCTTTTTGTTAAATGGCCCCACCATTGCTTTGAACCTGGACATCACCTGAGTGTCTTCCCTCTTGGCATTACCTGTACCCCTCTATGGCCCTACTTACTCAGTCATGAAATAAGTTATGTTTGTTTATGAGGCATCTTTCTGAAGGGTGTCCTCCCCTACATTACTCAATTTCATTATTTTCTCTTTGGACCCTGTAAGAGCCTTACAACTGGTCTTTCTAACACCCCACCAATCTATACTCCACACTGGGGCCAGAGGGATGAGTCTACAAATTTAAACCACATTAAAACACACTCCTCTGGAGTGTCTCCACATGTTGCTCAGCACTCCTGAGACAGAGACTAGATGTCTTAACCAAGCACAGTGTCTTCAGTTCTCTCATCCCAGTCCTCTCAAACATATCCTTCTAAACTTCTCAAAATTCTCCCAAAAGGTCACAACATGTTCCACAGTTCCATGCCCTTGCATATGCAACCTCTACCTTATTAATATGCCCCATGAGCCACACAGTATGTGTACAGACACACATACCCCCCACACACCCACACACCCGCTTCCATGCCACATGACAAATAGAGACTTTCCTTGACCAAACTCTAGATAGGTGCTTCTTCATCCTCGGCCTTGCTCTCAAGATCCCAAATTTAGCAAGATTCATGCTAAATCAGTCAGAAAGAATCCACCACCCTTGATATTTGATCGCCTTCCATACCTGATCAAATATCCCCCCCCCCCCCCCATCTCCCAGGTGGCAGCAGATTGCTCCGGCCTGCCTTCAGCTAGAATCCTGTTAGGTCAGTTTAGCAAGAATTCACCCCAACCCCTGATATTTCCTCTTAGTAACTGTCCATCACTGACCACCCCCAATGCCTCCCCTCAACCTGCTCCTTGACCATAAATCCCCTTGTTCTTGTATTTGAAATTGAGCTCTGTTCTGGAGTTCCTTTCCCCTTATTGTAATAGATCCTAAATAAAATTTGTTTTTACGCTTTTTACTGCTGTCCAGCCCTGGTTTTAATACAAACACCCTCAGTATTTATCCTTCTGAATTTAGCTTGAATGTCACCATTTTTGGGAAGTCTTTCCCACTTACCTTCAGGGCGAGTTTCTCTGTGTTTTCCTGGAACTCAGCTCATAACTGTCCACTGAGGTCACAAACTGGGGCACCTGAGTACTTTCTCTTTTTTCCCTAATTTTTAAATTATAGTTTACTACTATCATAATAGAACAAATTGCAGTTGTATTTGGCTCTTACCACTTAATTAAGATAATGTGTTTAAACTAAGTGTTCCTTAGTTGGTCACAGTCAGAGGAACTGCATGCTTCAGTGAAAGAGGAAAACATGGAAAGAGGCCTCCCCCAATACCCAAATCACAATTTCAGTGGCCTTAGTTGGTGACCACCTGGGACAGAACAACACTGGCTTGATGACTGCCTCCTGGGTGCCTGGGGCTGGGCTGTGCAGAGCTGGGCTCCCCTCTCCCCGCACTCAGCCTGAGGCTGGGAGTGGTTCAAGCACTAGGCAATGTTGTGTGTGTAGCCACAGGGCTCGACTTAGGGATACTTAACCTGCAAATTGGTTAATGTGCCCCAGGGGGAAAGGCATTCACTCTGTATCTGGTATTTAACTTCTCCTTTGGCAATAATTTCACATAATGGTAGAGTCTAAAAAATTACAAGATCTCAGTCAAGATAATAAATTGTGCCTTTCCAACGAGAACTTCCCTATTGTTTTATTTTCCAGCGAAACTTTCCTAGATCCAGGGTCCATACACGTTCAGCTTTGGGTCCTCACAGCACCATTGCTCTGGTTTGTGGTTTATCTCCACTTTTGGATTTCCAAGTGCTCAATTCTGCATATTTAGAAACTCCTCTGCCTCTTTGGTCACCCCCCTTTCCTCCCTCATCAAAGCTTCCCCTCATTCTTCTGACCTCTTTCTGAGTCCCCATTTCTTCCAATAAGCCTCTTCTGAGTAGCACATCCTTTTATGATAACTTAGTGAGAAGGGCGGCACAGGGAGGCAGGACTCATGCTCCTGTTCCTGTTCTCTCCCCGCCTGGGTGCTAGTGGCTTTGTGTCCATGGGAGAGCTCCCTGCCTAGAATACATAGGAACCAGGTGGTGGAGTCCCTGGGTGACCCTGGCTCACAGACTCCTCTCCACTTTACCATCAGCATCCCCAGCTCCAACTGCTGTCCAGGTGCTGTACTGGGCACTGTGAAGCAGGCAGAGAACGGCTGCAGTTTCTATCTTATGGGACTTACCATCATCAGCTACAGGAAGTAAGAACAAAACTCAGGAACATGCACACGTGGCTGAATGTAAGAGGATCATACGAATGCTATGGGAAAATACTTGCTTGTGACCTTCTACACTCCAAAAAGCTATATGCCTACCAATTATTAACTCAAGCACCTTGTAGACAAGCCCCCTTTTTCATTTAATTTCTCTAACATCTAGAATAATGATTTGAGTAGCACTGGTATGTAGAAAATACCGAAAGCTATTTATTTATGTCCCCTATCATAACTATGTGAATGTGTCTCTCTCAAAATACAGGCCCTAGAAGGGGGAAAGTGTCCATTTGTCACTTTCAAAGCCCTCCTCTCTGTCTCATTACTTTCAGTTTTATTTCCAACTGTTCTCCTACATGCCCGTCTTCCTCCAAGTGTCCAGCCTCATGAGAATGTTCATTACCACCTGCCCCTACTTTGTGTTCTAGCTTCTAGGCCCTTATTTATCCCATCCCTGTTACTTCACCCCTACACATCCCTCCCCATTTAAGCTTGTTGAAGCCCCTGACTGAAATTCTAGCCTCTTTACACAGAACCACGCAGCTGAAAGGGTGTCTCTACCAGTTACTGGTGTACACTCTTTATTTTGCATTTATTATATTTACACTTCATACATTAGTTTTTTACTTCTTCAACTTGGTTGTGAATTCCCGGAGAATATTGAAGTATTTCTGCCTATGCTTTCATAGAGCCTAGTAGAATGGTTTATATGTAGCTTGTGCTTAACTTGGTCATTGGTGGAGAAATCCTTATAGAGCTCCATCTATGCAGATGGCGGACATATGAAGAATGACAGTTGTTCACATTACACGACAATTCTATAGAAAGTATGATAAGAATTGTTCAAAGACAACAGAGAAAGGATGTAGCCCCATTACTTCATCTGCATGGGTTGGCTCCCTTTGGCAGCTGGAACCTACCTGGCTGGTGTCTATGGGGCATGGGATGAAGGAGGCTTGGGAGAGGAACTGGGTGGTTCCCAGCAGATCTCTGATGCCTTTGGTGTCACGCTTATATTCTTTGACAGGCTCCAATCTCATCTTTTCCTTGGGAAGTAAGGCTTCATAGCAAGGGGCATAACCAGAGGGAGGCAGAAACTTAAATTCTCCATGACGTCCACCCATCAGGAAACGTACTCTGTGCCATTTGGAGAGACCAGGAAGAGAGAGGTTAAAACAATATCCCAGCCCAAACAGGTGAAAATTCAAGATCAGTTCCCCCTACCCCAAATGATTTTGTTGGAAAGGGGCTGCACTCAGACTTAGCTCAGCAAGCATTCTAACAAGGGAGACAAAGAGTGGAGGGACAACTGGGTGTGGCCCCCAGTTCGCCAAGTCAGCGAAGTTCTTAAAAGTCCATTTGAATGTTAATATTGCTAGCTTTAAAAAACATCCTTACTCTAGTATAACATATTACTATATGTTATTACTAGAGTATTAAAAAATAACATGATGATGATGATGATATTATTCTCTAGAAATAACATTACAATTAGAACATGAGAACTTGAAAGTCTTTTTTGTCTGAGAGAGATTAGCCACACATAAATTAAAAGAAGCACAGTATAACTATCCGAGAAAAATAGGAAATTCTTATTTTAAGATGCAGGCTAAAAATTTAGTAACACCTGAGTTGTAGACACAAGTGGTATACATGCCTGGTAACGATAATAGAAATGATACAGGGCAGAGGCTGCAGTTCTCCAAAGCAGCCCTATGAGGGTGACTCTGAGGAAGTATCAGCAGGGGGCCACACCGGGGTGGGGTGGGGGGCCCACAAGGGGCCAGCCAGGAACAAAGTGCTTATTAGGGTCCCAGTGCTTTACTCAGGGGCACCAGTACCCTGCTGGCCTCCAAGCCTGATACCCTTGCTCACTTCACCAGTGCCTGGAGGAACCTCCCAAGGAAGGGGACTGGGACACTTGGGGGCTCACAGGAATGACAGGCACTAGTTACAATGCACTGAAGTCTTTCAATATTTTAATTCAGCATTCTGACTGAATTTCATCCCCAGATCTGCAGGTTAGGTTAGAGCTAGGGTTGGATGCCAAAGCTCCTCATGCAAAGAGGAGAGTGTGAAAGTGAACTATTACAAAATGATACTCACACGCTCTCAGGTTAGTAACTAGTAACATAGCATTAAATTGATGAGGAAATATGACTGAAATTTTAAGTAATCAAAACATAGCAAGGTATGCAGTCCTGCAGGGTCGACAATAATGTCACACAGGAAAAACCAACACATACACGCAACATCTGCACACAACATCACTCCCTCCATTTAACAACTATTTACTAAGCCTGTATGACTTGCACAGTTCTGTGCACTAAGGATTCAGCACTGAACAAAGCACATAGTAGGCATCCAACTAGGGAAATAGGCCTAACTTCTGATTGAAAGACATCTGGTGAGGGAATACAGAGGGAGACGTAAAATTGCTCCTAGATTGAAGTCAAGGAAAGCCTCTCTGAGGAGGAGCATGTGAGTAACCTCAAAGATTAAGGAGAAGAAGCCAATGAGTTCCAAATCTAGAGGAGAGCATTCCAGGCAGAGAAACAGCATGTGCATGTGTGCAAAGGCCCTGAGGCAGACAGTTTTGGGTGGAGGCAGTGTGCTGAGAACATGGAGAGCCTGAGGGGCAGGAGATGAGGCAGGAGGCGGCAGGGTCTGTAAGCGATGGCGAGGGCTTGGGATTTTCTTTCAGGTGGGAAGCTTTTGAAGGATTTTAACAAGAAATATAAGATTTTCAAGTTGCTCTATGCAGACAGGCCTAGGGACCAATTAGGAAGCAATTGCAGGCACCTGACACCCTGTAGTCACAGTGAGAGATAAGGGTGGGTTGGACCAAGGTGCTGATGGCCAACAGGGAAAGCAGCAGCCACATCCCACTTTTTGGGCAGAATTAGGTATGTTAGGAACTGCTGATGGGATGGACATGTGTGTGTGTAGTGAGGCAAGGTATGTGGAGGAAGGGTTCTGATCTAGCCACACTCTCATAGCAATGTGCTCCACTAGACCGCACTTCCTCTAACTGGAGTGTCCCGGCAGGGCAGCCCTGCGAGAGGAGTGTCGGTGTGATGGAGTCATCGTGACAGTGGACGTAGCCTGATTATGAAAATGGAAAATAGAAATCTCCCTAAGTGAGAGACATTAAGGGTTTTTCCTTTTCTAATACAAACTCTTTATCCAAACAGCATTTTTTAAAATGCTGCTTTAAAGTTAATTATAGAAATATGAAGCCTCCCACTTTCCCATTTTAAAGCACTAAACAACAATGATATAGAATCAGAACCACAATTATCCCTTGCAAATGTTTCTACATTAAACGTTATGCAATAGGGCATGATCTACATATACTAAGAATATGAACAATGACATTAAACAAAATTGAATCATTAGGCTGCAATGTTACTAATTTAGTGAGCCTTCAGGAAATAATGACTAAGCCTTGAAACCATTTGTGGAGAACTTCCCAATTCAAATGGAACCTAACAGATTGTGCTACTGACATGTTGAAAGTATGGGTTACAATTGGAGCTTTCTGAGCAACGAATGAGTGTGGGATTTTTTTTTTTTTTTTTTTTTTTTTGCATTTCTTTCCTTTAAGAAGCTGAACTGGGAGCTTATACAGCAAGTGTGTTCTTTGTCCCTCACTCATGTAATGACCTCCTATGAGGATTTCCAGATGCACTTAATTATTCATGAGCTCTCTTGCCCGTTCTGTTTGGTTTTAAAATTTCTCTTACGTTTTAAAATCTGCTGTTCTCCTCTTCTGGACAGATAACAAATCAAGAAAGGTGGAGTGCCATGTAGCACTTAAAGAGAGCAATGCTTTCTGTTTGTGTGTTCAGTCATTCAAAGACAGCAGTAAGATAAATGCTAAATTTATCTCCTCCAATGGCCACACCAACTGTAACATGAAAATTAGCCCAGCCAGTAGTCAGTGTGCCCCGACTGTGGAAGCAGTCTTCGAACAGCCATTATGCTGTACTTTAGTGGGTGGGAGAGCCATCCTGGGTCGCTTTCAAAGTCCTGTCACACAGGAGCTCTGCACCCCAGACGGTGAGACTGGACAGGAGCAGATGCTGGGCACACCCGCCGTCTGTGGCTCCTGCCTTTGCTGCCCATGAGGAACTGCCCAGGGACCATGGTACGGGCTCCAGCAAACCTCCACCACTCTTGGCGGTGCCCCTCCTCACTCTCTCAGGGAGATCCAGACTGACCAGGTCAAAGGAAAGAACTAGAGATAGCATATAGGTGTGCAGAATACGAAGGACAGAAAGGAAATAGCTGAAATCCACTTTATTTGAAGATGTTAGAATAGGCTCCCCTCTGTCTCAGAGTTTTAGCAAAGGTCCCAAAGGCAGATAATTCAGTGAATGCCAATTTTTTGCACACCCTGAAATGAGGGGCAGGATCAAGTGCAGTGGAACTTCCAAAATATCGTGAAACCAGTTCCATTAGCTATAGCCCACGGTGAACCTCCACAGGGATGAGAAAGGAAAGAACTCATCACGGAGACAGGGGGATGGTTCTCTCTCATCTGAAGTGCAAGGATGAGGGCTTCAAGGACTCTTCAGAAGCTTCATGATTCACCCCTGAGGTTTAGTGAGGGACACATTTACACGGTCATGGGCAGAGAGAGAGAGAGGCAGAGAGAGGGAGAAAGAGAGAGAGAGAGAAAGAGAAAAAGAGAGACAGAGAGACAGAGAGAGAGAGAGAGAGAGAGAGATTGAGACCCTCATGGGAAAGAGGGAGAGGGATGGGGCCAAGGACTATGCTTCTGGAAGGCCAGATAGAAAATCCACTGACGAGTCAGCTGTCAGTCATCTCCAGGAAGGTACATGACTGAGTAGAGATCAGCAACCCAGGAGCTGGGAGAGCCGGAAGGCCTTCAGAAATGCATGGGGAGGTTTGGGGTCAGCCAGAGGGAGCAGCCAGCACAAGGGGTGAAGCCTGTGCCAAAGAAGCTGCTATCAGAAGCTACTCGCTCGTGGCTCTTCAAGAAAACTACAGAAGGGCCCCACAAGAGACAGAGGCGGCCATCACACAACTGCCACACAGAGGTCTGACGCCACGTGACAGCTGCATCCATCCCACAGGACGAGCCCTTTCCCAGTCACGGGCCCCTGGGCTCAGCGCAGGAGGGTCTGAGACAGGAGCTGGCCAACGAGGGAGGAGCCTGCTCTCAAACTGCCAGCCAAGTGGGGGCAGGCTCAAACAACAACAATGGGGTGGAAATCTGGAGTTTTTATGTTCAAGCACATGAGACTTTTGAATTACTGACAAGATTGTTCCTGTTCTTAAAAAGGGTGACAGGGCTACAGAACTCCAGAATTCCACATTATGGGTTTGAAGGGGTCGAAGGAGAAAGGACAAAGTTACATGTACCTGGTCTACACCTCCCAATAAATCTGTTATTAGGCACTTAATATTTACCTTTGAAATCCTTTGCCTCATTTATAAATGAAAAATTTCCAAATAGAATGTTAGTCTCTCTTCTCTAGGTGTATGTATTCTTTTCTGCTCCTTGGGTTCCATGGAACCTCCCAGCATCACAAAAAAGGTCAAAGTTTTTTCAAAAAAGATAATTTAAAAACAGACTTCTTAATTAAAATTAGTTCCTTTTTATCCTTGGATTTTTCTCTACATTAATGGATTTTAAAAATCAATTTCATTAGTCAATTCAATTGCTTCCACTAGAGCGCCTGTATCATCTTCTGGGGTCCTTCCTATAACTCAGACATTCCATCAGCTCTCGAAGGTTTTCTTTCTTCCTAAAGTGATCACAGCGAGCAGTTGTGTCCTTAGATTCCTCCACCTCAGAATGAGCAATAGCTTCAGTAATGGCCACCTGGGAGTACTGAAGTGCCGGGATGTACAGAGGAATTTTCTATTTACTTGACTCATTTTGAAAACAGAGCAAATTGTATTGAAAAAATCCTCAGTAGCATTTTCATCTTTTGAGATCTATGCTTTTTTGCTTGTCATTTTGCAGAAGAGATGAGAATACCTCTGGCAATTTTCCAGATTTGAAAGACTGACCCACGAATATAAAATACATGCAGCAAACAATCAAAGCTTTACTGTGCTCAGAAAGGACTCAGTTTCCTTATCCACATCTTAAGCAACCACGTGAAGTCACTTTAGTCTTAGTTACTAAACATTTCATTACTGTTATGTGCTGCTGAGTCCCTCCCAGAGAGCTGGGATGGTGTCCCAAAGAACAAAAGGATACAGCCCATGGTTAAGCAGAGAAAGAAACAGCAAGCTTTTGCTGACATGAATTCAACTCATAAGTCATGGCTCATAATTGCATCTTTAGTCCATATCACTCAGACAGGAGAACAATATGAGTTATGTATGTTACCACACTCATATTTCTTTCTGGCCAGTATTTGATGAAAGCCTGGGGCAAGCCAGCCAGTGCTCATCATATTCTTCACAGAAATATATTTATCTCAGCAATAATTTCCACAGCATTGACCACAGCAAGCTGGAAATAGCTAAGCTGCTGGTTACCTGAATTTTAGCCAAGTCTGGTGGATACCAACGGAAAGCAAACAGCAACTGCAAACACTAACCATCTTTGGATATTGTTGTTTCTATAAATTAGCAAGGACTGATAAAAGAGTTACATAAGATGATAAAATAATCTACAGGGAGTTTAACTATAGTTATATTCTCCCATGGTGACTAATTCATCAATTTTCTGCAAAACAAAAATGAAGCACCTGAATTTCACTATACACTCAGCTTCTCTGTAATGCTCTCTGGGTGGTTCATGCCACAATGCCATTTTGCAGGGTGAGATCACCTTTTAATAAGATTTTCCTGGCATCTTAGTAACTCAACCAATTTGGGTGGGCTCCAAGGTACATATGCTGCATCCCAAAATCTGTCCTCTAATGAATAGTGCTGTTACTCAGAAGCCCTGATCCACTAATCATACTGGCCATAAATCCCACTGAGAAGAAAAGTTAGGAGGCATATTCATAATAGCTAGGAGAGTACATATTGATTTGTGGATTTTGTTAGAAATTACTCATGCTGCCTTTGACTTCACGGTGGGTAAATCTAATTGGAAAAGATTTTTGCTTTTCAATGACTGCTGGCAGGGACACCTTAATCAGGTATTACTAATAACCTAATTCATAATTATAAACTAATGCGGGGTCACTGGGACAAGACTACCACCTCAGTAAAGACCATTAAATAGGCAGCAATGGGGCTGTAAAAAAGAAACCTAATTTAGAATCACATGGAAGTGAAGTGAGGAAATTTCTAAATTCTTCTATGATGGGAGAAGACTCTTTCTCAATGGGCATAACCTTGCACCTTGCTGGGAGAGACACTATATATCAGGCAAATATTCTACTATATTGAGTAAAAACAATAATCTATTTCCAATTTTATTATTAAATGCATTTATTTTCAATAAGATACTTTAACTGGAATTAAGATCCTGGTTTCTCTGTGTAGCTCTTTGCACAGCTGAACTAAAGCAGTAGAGAGGGGCATGATCTGCTGACCGAGAAACAAGATGCTAGAAAGATCTTCTACATGTGGATACCTAACCATCACCTATTTCTTCACCTTCTAGCTACAGTGCTTTGCCAAAAGAGTTTTAAAAAATCCCTACTACCTACACCCTTCCTCCAGTCACACATTTAAAAATCCTACCTCATAGCTCTGAGGGAGATTAGATGGATGAGTTAGTGATTGAAAATCATTATGCAACATGCAAGACTGGATGTACTATTATTGTCTGAACACAGAATACTCAGGAAAGTCCATCAGCCAGCAGACTGGAAGAGACCCCCCTGGAGAGGTTTGACGTCTCTCAGATGAAAGTAAAGCCCAGTGAGTGGGGTATGATGCAAACACAGAAGGTCAGGGTGCTGCCACTGGCTGCCCCAGGCCTTGATTGCCCGGCAAGTGCGGTCCGGGAGTGGACTGCTCCACGTGAACAGCAGCTTCTCCAGGAAAGGGCACCGAGCCAGTTGTGGGCAACCCAAATGCTGTTACGTTGTTTTAGATTTCTATTCATTCTCTGTACTCTTGGGGAATGGGGAAGATATGCAATGGGGCTTGCTCTGGTTTCCCCCCATCTGCCAGGGGGTCTGTGTCCAGCCAGTTGCTTTCGTGCTCATAGTGCCTGGACCTGTCCGTAGTGTTCCTGGTTGTCTGCAGGCTTCCAGTGGATGCCAATGAGGAATGACAGGTTACACCACACTGACAGAGGGAGACTCAGCGTGGGGTTCTCATGGAAATGTCACCCTCACAGCCAAACACAGGTAAAGAACTCTTCACTTCTTAAGAGTATAGTCCCTGGGGCTAGCGCACAATTCTCTGGCTGGAGTCTGTGATGAGTGGGTTTACAAACCTAATAAAGTTTTACTAGAGTGGTTCTCCATTTCTTACACAAGTCACCATGATGATAATGTTTAATTTCAATACATTATGCCCCCCCTCATGAACATGCTTACAAATATGCACACGTGAGGCTGTGGGAACATGCATGCATGCTGTGTTGCTGTGTCTACAAACACACATCACTGTACACACTATGCAGGCATGTGTATCTGTGTCAAGTTCTACAAGCTGAATATCATTTCCCAAAAAGTAATTCTTTGTTCCTACATAGTTTATTTACTTGAAACAGAACAGAATGTTTATCCTCTATTAGAAAATAGGTGGACATGCCTTGGTTTCTCAGCCCACGTGAGGTGCTGAGGCCATCACAGTGGTGTCGCTGTGGAAATCCCATTGCCTGGGTGCTTGGAACTCAGCTCTGAAGTACTTTGCTGTGGCCCCAGCTCTAAGCACTGCTCTCCACAGCTCTCCTCCTCCCAGGACTCTTTCTAACAGTGTTCATGAAAACCAGAGTGATCCTAACTGTGCTGACTCTAGTTCCCACTTGATCCACTGTGATCTCCTTAACAGGCAGGGAGCAAGGACGGCTAAGAAAATATTGGGAAAGAAGAGTAGGATAATGGGATCTTGCCTCACAGATGATAAAATGTATTGTCAGACACAGACAATTAATACAGCATCCAAACGAAACAAAGAGAGGAGCAGAGCAATGGACACAGTAGTTAGCAACAGTGCGTAGAAAATCAGCCTGCACAGCACAAGTCCAGTGTAATGTAAAGTTATTGGTATGTAGAAATAAAAAGGTAATATGGTTATCTCTGGATGGTATGATGATGGGTTCTTGCTATTTTCTTTGACTGATACTACTTTTGTAAAATGGAGAACCAAAAAATATTAAGTGTCCAAAAGTAAATCATGAACTAGGAAAAATATTTGAAACTATAAGACGATTGTTTAATAGCCTTAATGTAGGAAAGTAACTGCCAAAAAATTAATACCAGAAAGGTATAAAACACAAAATTAACAAAGACATGGGGCTAAAATAATACACAAAAACATTAAGCATGAAAAAGTTCAACCACATCAATAGTCAAATAGAAAATTAAGACTTTAAGACACAATTTTCTCAAATTAGCAAAGATGAAGATAACCAACAGCAGGAAAAGTTCACGAGGAGTCAATCAGCTGGGTCTGCCCATACATGGCTTTAAATGATACCACAGACCCAAATCCCACACCTGAAGTTTTTGGAGTTGTGCTTCAGACTTGGGAATTCTTCAGATTTATAAAAGAAAGAAGGTACATGTAATACATATTAAAAAGATCCTCCAGCCAGGTGTGGGGGGCTGTACCCCATAATCATACATGTTAATATTTCTACAGTTAAACATGTAAATATTCACAATATGTAGAATAAATGAAAGACTGAAAACAGCCCCATTTCTGTTGATGATAGTTTTGCCACAAAGTAAGTTCAGGTCAGGTTTTGTGGTGAAATAAATCACAAAAAAATTTGTTTCTTGGAGCTGTTCATATTTCAAAATTATTGATAATGAATTCTGAACTATTCAAACAATCTTTTAAAAAAATCTATTTGGCCACCTTATTATAAACTCGGATTTCCAAAAGTTCATATCTTTTGACCAACTTCTACGAGAAACCAAACAGAAATGCAGACAACGTTATGCTCAAGGATGTTCATAATAATTTATAACAAAATGGGAGCAGTGTGAAGTCTAACAACAAAGTAATGGCTGCATCATGGGAGAACCAGATAAAAGGGTGTTACATGGCCCTATCAATCATCTGGGGGTGGGGTGGGGAACGCGAGATGACTCGGGAAAGGGCCGAGTCATTACTTATTCCCGAGTAAAAAATAATCAGGACATAAAACTTCACACTTAATGGGATGTCAATTAAAAATATATACTTATACTTGTAGAATAAAAGACTTGAAGAAAATGCACCAGAACATTAATACAGATGATAGTTTAATAAGGGGATCATGAGTATATTGTCTTATTTATAACTGTATCTTTCTACTTTTTATAATGAGCATGTGACACTTTTTATAATTATTAAAGTAGTTTTTTTACACAGGATTCCTCTTATTCACCTTGCTGTTTATCTGAGGACATTATATAACCCCTGGCAGGAGGCATGAGTTCAACAAGTATATAAGGAGTGAGTGGCTTTTCATCACCTTCCCCTCTTAGGGGAGTTTGGCTACGGTGCCAAAGCACTGAAGGAGATTACGCTCCCTGGCTCATAGGAGTGGTGGGAGGTGGGTAACAGCTACTCTTCATGAGATCATGGCCATAACTTACTTGACACCTGCTGAAAAGCTCACCACAGGGAAGAAGAGCCCATCTGTGTTGAAATTCTCAAACATCCCCTGCACAGGCTGTCCATTGATGCGGAAAGAGATGCTGGGCACACCGAGGTCTAGGCAACAGCTCACCACGTCATCGGACTTCAGGAGGTGCTGGTTGATGGAGGCCACAGCTCTGGGAATGCGACCTGGTGAGCAAAGAACAGGAAAAAGGCATGTGAGACTCCAGGAGAGAGGCTCACAGGCCACCAGTGGGCGGTATGAGGGCACAAAGGTCTGGGCATGCTATTGCATTTGACATGCTACTTTGCTTTCTGAAACTGTATGAGGTGAGCAATGAGAAATGATTTCCTAAGCAGGTGAGTGGGCGGTGTGACACGGCATGAGTCTCAGAGGAAACTCTCAAGCTGCAGAGATGAGAACACACACAAATTCTACCTGCCCAATGTGTGCTCAGATTCCGTGTCTGAGACAATGGGCAGACTGCCTCTGCTGGGTGTGGGACTTTGAGCAAGATGGATGTGTGTGTGTGTGTGTGTGTTCTTTAGTGTCCTTGCTCTCTTCTACTGGGTTGGCCAAAAAGTTCATTTCTCCCCCCTGTAAGATGACTCTAGTAGGGCTTAGCTGTCTTTAACTTCATTCTAAATAATTTTGTTAGACTGTATTGTGACAACTGTCATATCAGTGTGCATTAAAAAATTATCAAAACTGGTGAATTTTTGTACAGCCATTTTGATACTGAAGATGGAAGAAAATATGTAACATTTTTGACATATTATGCTTTATTATTTCAAGAAAGGTAAAAACACAACTGAAACGCAAAGGAAGATTTGTGCAGTGTATGGAGAAGATGCTGTGACTGATCAAACATGTCAAAGTGGTTTGTGAAGTTTTGTGCTGTAGATTATTTGTGTTCCATGGTTGGGTAGACCAGTTGAAGTTGATAGTGATCAAATCGAGACATTGAGAGCAATCAACATTTATACTATGTGAGAGAGGGCTGACACACTCAAAATATCCAAATCAATGTAGTCATTGGTGAAAATGAAAAATATGTCTTTGATTTTACAGAAAAAAATGGAATGAACTTTTTGGCCAACCTGATATTTTTTCTAAACAATGTTCTGGCAAGCTTATCCATGATCAGCCGAGTCACTAAAGTTTCTGAAGTAGCAAAACCAAAACCAGTAACAGTAACATTTGTTGTGGGTTACCACATGTCAGACACTCTTCTAATCACTCTACAGTGAGTAATTTATTCAGAACTCACAGCCATCTTATGGCATTACTACTTTCATTTGACAGATGAGGGAAATTAAGTCCACAAAGGTAAGTGGCTTGCCCAAGGTCACACAGTGACAGAACCAACACTCCTTCAGCCCAGGGAGTCTGGTTGTAGACACGCCCCTTACTTGCTGCACACTGCTCCCTCTTGAGTGGCATAGAGCAGGCCAGCCAGGCATTTCATCAAAGGCACAGGACTGAGAATGGTACCTGGCAAACAGTTCTTGACAGCAGCATGTGGGTATTGCTGTACCCAGTTTACAGATGTAGAAGCTGAGCCTCAAGTAAAACCACAGGTTCAGGTTCGTGTAGCAGGTAAAGACTTGGGGTTTGAAGTCCTCTCTCTGTGACTTCCAGACCTCTCCCCACCCTCACCCCCAGGCTATCTTATTACAGAGTAACTGGAAGGATAAACACCGTAAGTGTGGGCGTAGGACTCTTCCAAATTGTTAGGAGCCTTGAAAGCCTTCACAGAGGTAGACAGGACCACTTTAGCACTGGATGCAGGAGCTGTCAAAGTCAAGAACAGCAAGGTCATCTAGCCTTTACACTGTGCAGCAGAGGCTTCTTATTTGTTTTAAAGAATTTTACCACCTCAGACAGGCAGAGAAACACTGTCACTTATACCCTATATTGGTGACTTGTTTTGCTGTTGTTGCATTTATTTTTCATAAGATGATTTGTCATTTCCTGGCCTAACCTAGTGAGAAAATCACCTCTCACTTTTCTGTAACAGCACCCCATCCTGAAAGTTCTAAAAGTAAATGATCATAACCACTCTGCCATCTCCCATAGGTTTACAGTTCTGTTGGGAAGACTGCCATGAAGTGCCAGAAGTTATGTATTAAAATGAAGTTTCAGGAAGAAAAACATATGAAATGTATTTTGTTTTTGATTACAGCAGTAATACAAGTTCATGATAAATGTTCATCATATAGATATAAAAGTATAAGCGAGGAAAAAAATGTAATAAAAATGCTTCTATTCTTTCAAATATATATTTTTCATCCAAACTGAGATATTGTAGGTTTGATAACTTGTTAATGCTACTTATCAGATTATATTTTATTTATAATAAAACAGTCATTAGAAATTGAGTTTTAATGATTTTATACTATGTCATGGAAAGGCACTTTTTAAAAATCCCCTTATGATGTGTATGTGAGTTGTTTATAAATTTTATACATGTGTCTATGCTGTGTAATATTTCTCTTCTCAGCTTAGAAATATTTAAACTTTTATTTAATGTTTTATTGTGAATACTGTTTATTAGTAGTTACTGCTATTCAAGTAATAGATTCTAAACTAAGTAGTGGACTTTAAAATAGTAAAACTACTGTACTCTCATTAATAAAAAAAAATTAGGTGCCCCCTTCTGGTTATTTTAGGTGATTGACAAAGCCATATATTGTATATCCCAACCTTCCACAAACAGGAATGAGGCCAGATATTGTGCTTGGGACTGGGGACCACAGACAGAAGGTGCCATACCTGCCCTTAGGTAGCCCATACTCTAGTGGGAAATAAACATTCAAATGAAGAATTACAATTCAGTGTCAGTACTGGAATAAAGGAGATGAATTCCAGAGGTAGAGGACATTGAGTTGACTTGAAGAATGAAAGGTTCGCTAGATAAATGAGAAGGAAGAGAGCACCCCAAAATTCCGTAAGAGAGCATTCATACATAAGCAGAATGATTGGCTTACATAACAGGAGTATACAGCATACAGCACATCCTCACTTAACATGGTTGACAGGTTCTTGGAAACTGAGACTTTCAGTGAAATGATATATAAGGAAACTGATTTTACTTAACATGTGTGTTTAAACTGCCCCAGTCTGAGTGAGTATGCGTATGAGTGACCTCAGATGGAAAGGCGTTCTGTCCAGGCTGGGCACCACCTGTGTCAGGAGCTGCCAGGATAATTAATCTCTGGCTACTTGCAACCCTAAACTGGAATAAACAGGTTGGAAAATAATGATCTTATTTTTATTAATCTTTCTTATATGTGGGTATAGCTTACATTTACCTCAATGTTTAATATTTTAGAAGTGTTTATTTAGACATTTGGTACTGTTTTTGTGACCAGAAATATGCTATAGACACCTAACTCTTGTTTATATCAACTAGCCTATCATGAACTTGATCTCATTTATCTAGTGAATGAATCTCTTATTCTTCAAGCCAACTTGATATCCCCCACCTCCAGAAGTCATCTCCTTTATGCCAATCTTTGGGATTTGGAAGGAAACTGGAATACATGGAGAAAACACACACAGAGATGGCCCTGGCTGAGAGTCATTTTTTTTCTTCATCAACATTATAACAAAACTGGAGGACTTGCTGTGTGGGCAGAGTGGCTCAAGTCTGGTGAGGCTGGGATGTGGGCAATAATGCCCACTTCATACATGGGGGCCTGATGAGGAAATGTGGTGGGGATAAAGCTGGACTAGAACCTGGAACCCAGATTCCCTGCTCTGTACCAGCTCAACAAATTCGGTGCATGTTGGCAAATGAGCCTGGATGGCCTCAGACTTTGTTTCCTTACTGAGAATGAGGAGCAAGTTCCTCATTGTAGGCCCTAGAGTCAACCCCACTTAAACCAGAGCAAATCTAAGTCCAACTGGGAGAGTACATAGGTTTGGCCCCTTTCCTATGTCTCTGTTTGAGAAGAATGAGTACTCTTAGTGCCTTTTATGGAGGTTAGATATCCCAGGTCCCAGAATCTTTCCTTCCTTATTGTATTCAAGCCTGCCACAAAAGGAATCTGTGATATTAAAAACTCAGCAAACCTTGTTGTATTGTTTCATTCTTAAGATTCCTTATTTTCTCATTAAAAACCAATGTTTCTGCTTCAGTTGTTTCTTTTTCAATCAGTTTAGCTTCTGGAAAATATTACTGCAGTCATGTAAACAAAGCCCAAGAGATTTCTGTGGATTTGGGAAAAGTAAAAACTAACTGAAACACGAGGTTGGACAGCTACCTTTAAAAGCACCCAGATTGATACTGGTTGAAAATACAAATTACAAGGAAGATTACCTTTCTGAGATCATATCAACTAGGACAAAACTGTGTCGAACTGTGACTCCAGGGTCCCCTCCTCCACCCTCTCAGAGTGCACTGTCAGCTTCCTGTGCCCCTGAGCCTCAGTAAGTGAAGATCAAGAGCAGCTTTCACAGGGGATGCTCTTCATCTAAGCTGCGCTTTGATGCCACTGGAGGCCGAGTTCTGAGCTTTATTTAGCCTTCAGTGCACCACAGTTGCCAGTGCCTTTTTGAGGAACAATGGCGGGGAGCTGCTCCCCTGCCTGGCTTATTTTCTCAGTCGAAAACAACCACCTGGATGAGCGATTATGTCCTTGTGGAAATGACATTGTCTTTCACCTCCTTTATTCTAAGACACTGGGTGCCAAGGAGAAGTTGCTGTAGGAACACATGCTAACATCACCTACAGGCAAATTGAAATCACAGTCTAAGCCTGTTTTTAAAGCATATACAATAGAGAATACAGAGTTGGGACCAATATTATGTAGAAACTAAAGAGTTACTGTTGCTAATCACTGGATAGGAAGCAAGTACTTAGCAAGTACTTAGAGTAATGTAACGGGAAGTCTGCTTAAAGAAAATGCCCACTTCATACAATATTCATATTACAAAAAGTCATCTGGTAAAGCATACCTAGTTTTAAAATGTGAGTAGTGTGGAGATTATGAAACTAGAAAATGATGGAATTATGAGATTGCTTTTGCACACTCTGTTTCATAAATCTGTTCTCATCTAGAGGAAGCAACTGCTACCCCTGTGAGGTCTTTCAGGGCTCCAGATGATTCGGAAGGGTCCTGCACCCCACACTTAAACAAGGCATTTATCCTTCCAACTGCTCTGTAATGAGGTGGCATGGGGT